TCCACGTCTGTCTCTTGTCCTCAATTTATCTTCAGGTGTGTTGTCTTGAAGTCAGTCAGCTCCCTTGGATAGAGCATGGGGCTAGTGACTCAAACTCCTTGGTTCAAGTTGAATGTGGGATGCTTGGCTTGGTCTTTTGTTGTCCACAGACTGAACCCCAAACCTCACATGACTCTCTCAAAGGCATGTCCTCATGGTTGCTGTTTATTCATTCCAAATATGTTTAGAGATATTCTACATCATACAGGCTTCTGGGTTAGGTTCTGATTAGTGGGATTGTGGGGAAAAGGGAGGGTGGACTTGTCAGGTCCAGCTAATCCCTACTAGTAGAGAAAAACAAATTTCAAATTATATCCTGTTTGGGTGGAGGATGCTCACATCATATTCATATGTGCATTCTTATGTACTCATCTTCTTGTGCTCTTCTGGGCCCTTCTTAGATCCTCTATGTGCAAAGCTTTCTTTCTAACACCTTGAAACCCTATGTAGCCCAGGGTTCCTGCATAGCAAACATTCCAATAAGTCAGGATCATAGCTCTGGAGGTGGACCTTAGAGGTCATCTAGCCCAAGCATCTCATTTTACAAAAAAAGGAAATAGAGGTCCAGAGGTGGCAAGTGATGAAGTGACTTACCTAGATGACTGAGTGCTTGCTGATTGGATAGAAGGAGTTGATGAAGTTTGGACCATGCCAGTAGCCATTCCACTCTGACAGGAGGGACTATTGGCTCTCCAGCCAGAGGAGGTGACTTCACATTCCAGGTCTTCCACTTACTACCTGGGAGAGGCTGGGCAAATACTCTTCTCTGGGCCTCATTCTCCTCCTCTGTAAAACAAGAAGTTTGGGCTAAATTGTCTCTAAGGTCCCTTTCAGCTCTAAAGTTATGACTTTGTGATCCCAGAAAGCAATACAAGGTGGTAAGTGTATGAATGTGCTAGTGTGTCCCTCTTCTTCACATCGCAATCAGCCAGCCAGGAAGCCCAGGGCAGGAAGATGAAAAGATGCCAATTTGTGCATCCATGCCAATGGAGCTCATATGTGCAGCTGTGTGATGAGCTCTCATTAGCAAATTAAGCCTCAGCTTGTTAAGGGATAAATATTAGATGATGATTGATCTTCAGTCAAAGGGAGAAAACATATCTTTAATCAATGCCACTGTCTCTTACCTTTCCCAGCCCTGCCCCCAGTTGAAAGCAATTTTCATGTAACTGTTAAGCAAGCATCCTTTTCAGCAGAATTGAACATTAGAAGATATGCGTTGGCTATTTGGATATGGTGTATATATTTTTCTAACTACATATTCTCAGAGAAAAGAAAGAGAGAGAGAGTCTGTCTTCAAAATACTAAATCGTCAATTCCTCCTCCTCTTCCTTCTCCTCCTCTCCTTCTCCTCCTCCTCTTCCTTCTCCTCCTCCTCCTCCTTCTCCTCCTCCTCCTTCTCCTTCTCCTCCTCTCCTCCTCCTCCTCCTCCTCCTCCTTCTTCTTCTCCTCCTCCTCCTCTCCTCCTCCTCCTCCTCTTCTTCTTCTTCTTTTCTTCTTCTTCTTCTTCTTCTTCTTCTTCTTCTTCTTCTTCTTCTTCTTCTTCTTCTTCTTCTTCTTCTTCATCTCAGTCTGTATCACTCTCTTTGTCTCTGTCTCTTCCTGTCTCTGTGTATCTATTTCTACAACTCAGGTTCTGTCTTCATCTCTTTATTGTATCTCTGTCTATCTCTATCTCTCTGTCTCTTTCTCATCTCTGTCTCTCTTGTCTCTATACACATCTCTGTCTTTCTCATTGTCTCTTTCTGTGTGTGTCTCCCTCTGTCTCTTTTCTCTCTCTATCTCTCTGTCTCTGCTTTTCTGTCTCTCTCTCTCTATCTGTCCCTTTCTGTCTCTCTCTCCTCCAGTTTTCCTCGATCATTAGTCTACATAGCCTATTCTTGATAAGGATGATTCCTCTTCTTCCATAGAAATGGAGATTTTGAGAGACATAGCCCCAGTCCTACCAAGCTAAGACACCAGCACTAGGATGTATATGAAATCCCTATTTATCTCCTTCCATGGCTTAATGCATGCCCAGAGTGAGATGGTGAAAAGGCTTTTACATGAGTATGACTCAGAGGCACTTCTGCATCTATCCAGGGAGATTTGATGAGAAGGTTTTGCATCTATTTCCAGGCAATTTCTAGTTATTCAGAATTGGAATTGTTTGGCTGGTGCAGCATCTGCATAGTAAGCCCTCGATAAATGTTTGTTGAATTAGATAGAATTGAATCTAGTCCACTTGGCTTCCTCTTCTCCTGCCTCAGGCCTTGTTCATCCCTCATCAGTCCTTCTCTGTGAGAGCAAACAGAAGTGAGGAGCCATTGAAACTCAGATTATGGAATCTGGCTCCCTGCTAGATCGAAGATCCAACCGCATTACTCTCCTCTTCAAAAATCTTAAGTGCTAGATTTAGATCTAGAAGGGACGCCAGGGTCCATCTTGCCCAGTCCTCTCTTTTTACAGGTGAGGAAACTGAGACAAAGAGAGATAAAGAAGCTTCCACAGGCACATGTACATGTTTTCTCCTCTTGGAGGAGTAAGCTCTTGGAGGGTAAGAATCTTCATTTCTCAATTAGTATCCACACTCCCTAGCAAAGTGCCTGGCACATAGCAACTACTAAATAGGTGCTAGTTGATTAGTTAATCAGCCGAAGATCATACCAGAAGTATGGGCCAGCAATGGGATTTGAACCTGGATCCTCTGACTCCAAGACAAAAGCTCTTTCTTCTAAGCCAACCTCTTTGACTCTCTGTTGTCACCAGAATGAAACACACAATCCCCAACCTTCCATGAATGAGCTCCCTCCACCTCTCATAGGTGAGTACAAAGCAAGCATTCCACTCACTCTGGGAGCTGCCCCCCCCAGCCATGATGGTCCATCCCCAATCTATCTGTCCCTTCCTCCCAGAAGGCACCCCTTCCTCAACTCCTTCTAGAGAAGGTTTAGCTTTCTTCTGAAGACAGCTCAGGTGCTGCCTAACCCAGAACATCACTTTTCCCTATTTCCTCAGTTGTTAGCATTCTCCATTTCTTGAATGGGCTTTCTATTCATTTGTATAGACTTTGTGTTTATTAATCTGTGTGCATGTGTTCCTACAGCAAAATGTAGGACAGGAACTGTTTTATCTTTGTCTTTAGATCTCTAGTGCCTAGACAAATGCCTTACAGGTAGTTAGCACTTAATGAATGTTTGTTGTGATGGCTATATCACAAATACTTAAATGTTGTGACAAGTACATAGTAGGAACCCCTCAGCACTGGGTGGATGTTTGCCTAGTGGCCCATAGGATGACCTTCACTCTCTATGTTCCTCCTCTGAATGCCATCAGCCCTTTAAGTTTGCTAAAAAGCATCTCTTCATTCTGGAGTGACTTGTCTACTTTACTATTGCTTTATGAGTGTCAATCTTGTCAATCTTGCCTCAATAAGGCCACGGGCAGGTCCCTGAGAACCAAGATCATGCGTGTACCCAGCCTTGAGCACATCCATGCTGATTGATTCTGAGCTTGGGAAGAGGGCCTGCCAGAGACTGGTTTCCCAGGAAGTTGTACCAAGTAACCCAGCTTCATGAGATTTTCCCCAATGGTTTTGTAGAGGATAGAAGCAGATACAGCACAATGTCTGCACATGCTTCATCAGGTAGAGGGTTAGTTCATTCATTCAAACAAAGACAAGTCCTGCAGACAGCCCAGCCTGTCCTTTGTCTGTCTTCTAGATAACCTTGCATGCGGATTTTGAAAGATGTTACAGGTAATATCAGAGAGACAACATGACCCAGTGAAAGGAGGCTGGGAATCAAGGAGACCTGGGTTCAAATCCTACCCCTGGACATTTCTGGGCAGGGGGCAGAGGGTGGACCCTGGACAAGGTGATAAATCTTTATGGGCCCCAGATACCTCTCTGATTTTTGTCTACTCAGTCATAGGTTACCAGGGCATTTCCCCCACAATGCTGCCATAACAGCTGGATAATGCTTCAACCCCACTTCACTTGGTCAAAGCAAAGGTAGCCAGGGAAGGGAAGTCCTTAGCCAACAAACACCCAGCTCTCCTACCCTGGGGCCCTGTCATCACCATTTCCCCCGATTCATGCTCTGCCGGGTCCCCTTGTCAGCCCCAGAGCCTCCATTTTCCCGATGCACCTTCACTCGGAGCCATGGAGTGCCAGAGTCCCATAGCATTCATTCCGGTGAAACCTGAACGTTCCATTTTCTTTAATACATTTGCTGCATTGGTCCCCTTTGGCCTCTTGCTAAGAACCCTGCCAGCAATCATTCATCTTCTCCTTTGTAGATAAGAGCCCAGATTTATCACCGCAGAACAGCAAGGCTTGTGAACAGAAACTCTGACTCTGGGTCTCCAATGCAGCAAACACACTGACTCTGCTGGAGCTGGGCGGAGCCCTCAAACAGGCCTGGGACCCACAGAAAAGCTCAGGGAAGCGAGGCTGACAAATAAGAGCTCAAGAACAGCCTGCTCTGAAGAAGAGCTTCCAGTGCCATCTGGTGGCTTTGGTATGTCATTGCACCTTCTGACCTAAGCGCAAATGGAGGCGTTGAAGGCTTCTACAATTCGTAGTGAGTAGTAGTCTGGGCCAAAATAAGAGCATATCTCTTAGTTAATTCTGCCTGCAGTTCCAGACAGTTGAGCTATTTGGGAATACCAGCTCTGTTATCCAGGTAAGCCCTCCTGGCTTCTTGTTGTCAAGAAATGTAATAAGCCAGGGGCAGCTAGATGGTGCAGTGGATAGCACACTGGCCCTGGAGTCAGGAGGACCTGAGTTCAAGTCCAGCCTCAGACACATAACAGTCACTATCTGTGTGACTCTGAGCAAGTCACTTAACCCCAGTTGCCTCACCAAAGAAAGACAAATGAACAAAAAAGAAATATTATAATAAGCCTTTTATAGTATAGTATGCCTTTATCCAAGTCATTGATAAATAACGTTAAACAGAACCTTGCCAATGAAGGGAGATCGGGGGCAGCTAGCCCAAGCCCTTCATTTTACAGTTAAGGAAAATAAGGCTCAGAAGCAGATCTGAATTTCATTAGACTACATCATAGCTATGTAAGTACAGGGAAATGGGGTTTTCAAAGCAAAATCTGGTTGGATCAAGTTAGGGAACTGAAAAAAGTCCAGATCATGAGTTCAACCTAAGAGTGGGCTGGGTAGCTTGTGTCTTCTCCACAGTCAAAGGCCAAACCCCTCTAATTTTCTATCACAAATATGTGAGATTGGACAAAACAGGGATAGAGAAACCAGCTATGGATGCAATGTTACCAAACCATTCCCACCAGTGGGAAAATGCCCCCCCGAATCACAGGATCCCAATGTTGTAAGGGATCTCTAAGGTCATCTTATCTAACCATAACAAAATAGGAATCTCCTTTACCATATACTAAACAAGTGGATATACAATGTATTCTAAAGACCTTCAGTGCGGTGGGGGGAGCTTTCCTCCCTGCTCCCAGAGGCAATCCATTCCACTTTTGAAAAGTTCTAATTGTTAAGAAATTTTTTTCTTTCCAAGACAAAACCTCACTCTCTTCAACTGCCACCTACTGCTCTTCATACTGCCTAGGTCTCCTTCTTGGGTCAAGCTGAATGACTCTTCCCTTTTCCAAACGACTGCCATGAAAATATTTTACTATAGTAGTTGTATTCTTCCTGTGTCCCCTTCTGCAGGCTAAATGTCTCCAGTTCTTTTGGTTGATCTATTTATAGCATGCTGTTTGGTCCCTTCACCATGCTAGTCACCGTTCCCTGGATATACTTCAATTTGTCGGGCCATTCCTAAAATTTGGCACCCTCTGACCAGAGTATAATGGAACCAGATTATTGCCTCTTTTGTTCTAGACAACATACTTCTCAATATAGCTTGAGATCACATTTGATTTTGGAACCACCATGTCCTGCCATAAGGGTGGTAAATAAAACCCAGAAGTTGGTGGTTTGTCTTTAGACCTCTTCCCCCTCCCCCTTCCACAGCCTTGTCTCTCTCCACACCCAATACCTGATTATCAGAGAATCACAGAATGTCAGCATTGGATGGGCCCTCAAAAGTTACCTAATCCCACCCTGGCACACCAAGAATCTCTTCCCCAACATCCCCAACAAGTATTTATCCAGCTTTCCCTTAAAACTTCCAAGAATCTCTTCCCCAACATCCCCAACAAGTATTTATCCAGCTTTCCCTTAAAACTTCCAGTGAAGGAGAACCCCTTCCCAAATTGTTAAGAATTTACACTGAGGCCTAATATCCCTTTTTGCAACTCCCATCCCTTGTCTCAAGTGATCATGCTTCATCCCTCTACGTCTTCTTTTCTTTGATCTTAACAACTCCACACCCTTTATGGTAAGTTTTCCACTCCTCTCATCACCCAAATACAGGCAGACTATGTTGGAAGCATTCCTCCAATCTGTAAGCCTAATGGCCCCTATCAAAAAAAGGAAGTGAGGTTAGTCAGGCTCTTTTCGATCACTGTTGCTCTTTCCAAATTTTCATAAACCTTCCATTTAATTATATGTCACAGAACTTTCCCAGGAATCCAAGGCAAGCTTGATGGTCTGAGGGCTAAGGAATCTACCCCCTTCCCTTGTTTGGAAGAGGGCAATGTTTTTGTTTTCCATTATATTCTTTTTCAGACATCTGTCAGGTTAGAAAGGGAGCTGAAAAGCTTCATCCAGCTAAATCATATCTGGTACAATATTAGCATCTTATAATTCTCATAGAGTGTTTTGATCTGAATGAAGGATTCCTAGAGAAGCAAAGCCTTAGCCCAAAGGCATGAATTGACACTAATTAGACTGTGCTGAGAGAGTCTTGAGTGATGGACCTATTGTGCTCTATCCAATTCTGACCAGTCTGAAATATTGTGCTTTGTTCTATGCGTCATGGTTTAAGAAAGACATTGGAAAGCTGGAGAACTTTCGAAGGGGGGTATCCAGCATAATAACAAGCCTTCAAGTCATGTCATGGTAGGGTCGGCTGGAAGAACAAGGGATGTTTAGTCTAGAGAAGATAAAACGGGGAGGGGGGGGAGCACAAAAGCTGGCTTCATGCATTTGAAGAGCTGTTTAATGAGAGAAAGATAAGACTTGTTAGCATTGGTTCAAGCAAGAACTCAACAATGGGTGAAAGTCAGAGAGAGGCAAGTCTAGGCTTGCTATTAAGAAAAATAGCCAAGCAATGAGAGCTGAACCAACATGGAATGGGCTGTCTGGACGAGTAGTGCTTTTGCTCTACCAAGAAATCTTTGCAGTCTGACTGTTCACCACCTTGGGGGCATGCCACATTTCAAACAGCATTCTTGGTAAGGTAAAGGCGCGACAAGGTGACCTCTGAGGCCTCTGCCAACTATGGAATTCTATGATTTGATGGTAAGACCTAGCCTTCATTCAAAAGCCCAGGCTGAGGCTGCTTATGGAACTGGCTCAGGCTCAGAGCCAAGAATTCCAAACTCTTGGAGGATACCTCTTGGAGGACAGGGAGCAAACTCACGCCAGGGACACATCCATCAAAGAGCAACCCAGAGCTTCAGCAAGTGATGATTCTTCTTTGTTGCCCCAGCCCACAGCCAACACCAGTTACTTGGCTCTAGAACCCCTTGCTTCTCTGTAGCTCTTTGAGCCAAGGGCTCTTGTTTCCTGATCTCTCTCCTCCTCTTCCAGATGCCCTCAGCAGCCTGGAGAGTGTTGTACAACTTCCTAAGAGTGGGTGGGGTGAATTCCCATAGCATGACATAAAGGGGAGGAGTTTCCAAAGGATAATGGGCCACAACCATCATGGATCCTTGTCTCCTACCACCCCTCTGACTTGCACCAAGGACAGGTTGCCCCATAAACCACAGTTCCCGGAAAAGGTAGTCCACATGTCAGTCCCTTTCTTCTCTGGAAGAAGCAGGATAGCTTTACTGGGAACAATCTGCTACCTGAGGGATGGAAGAAGCAAGATAGCTTTACTGGGAACAATCTGCTACCTGAGGGAAGAGACAGACAGATAGATACAGAGAGAAGGAAGGGAGGGGGGGGAAAGAAGAAAGAAGGAAAGAAAGAAGAAGGAAAGGGAAAAGAAAAGAAAGAAGAGAGGAGGAGAGAGAGAGGAGAGAAGAGAGAAGAGAAAAGAAGAGAGAGAGAAACAGAGAAGACAGAAGGAAAGGAAAAAAAGGAAAGAAGAAAAAGAAGAAAGGAAGAAAGAGGAGAGAAAGAAAGAAAAAAAAAGAGAAAGAAGAAAGAAAGAAAGACAGAAAGAAAGAAAGACAGAAAGAAAAAAGAAAGACAGAAAGAAAGAAAGAAAGAAAGAAAGAAAGAAAGAAAGAAAGAAGAAAGAAAGAAAGATCACAGATGTCAAATAGCTCTTACACAACAGTAACAGCTTGACTAGTCCATGTAAATAAACCAGGCCCATATGGAATTAATTTCCCCAAATGTAACCAGGAATTTAATAAGTCCAGGCTGGGGTAGGGAGAAGGGGGGGATCCTGCCACAGCATTTGGAGCTATGGTAGAAAAGGACACTCTTGAAAGCCATCATCCCCACCCCCAGTGCCTTCATCCCCTGGAACTGTCTCACCCTGGCCCATGCCATTGAATCCTCCACTAACCTGGATCCCTGCTGGTTCCCAAGGACAGAGAACAAACCAGATTTCCACATGGGCTCAGGAAACTCACTATCCCTTCCCCACTCCCTGAATCTTAGTCACTGCAGAGGAAATCAAAGCCCACTGTCTCTTGAGTTCATGACTCTTTTTTCAAGGGTTTCAGTTGAGTATCATTTCCCCAGAGGACCTCTGGAGAATGGCAGATGTTTCTGGGAAGAGCAAACAGAACTGGACAGCTTAGATGGCACAGAGCCTTCTGCTTTCTTCTAGTCCAAATTCTTATGGAGAGGAGGAGAAAACAACGTTTGCCACACACACTCGCACAAACATATAGTGACACACACATGCACCCACACTCTCACACACACACACACACACACACACACACACGTGCACATGCACTCACATACACATACTCATACGATTCTCTCTCTCTCTCTCTCTCTCTCTGTATGTGTGTGTCCATCCATCTGTCTGTCTGTCTGTTTCTCTCTCCGATCCCAGCCCCTCAGAGATGCTCACAGGCCTTTCCTTATGTGGTAACAAAGCTGGGGCATCCACAGGACTTACCAGCTGGGGTTAGACAACTTTCACTAAGCAGGCCGTGTAAAGTCCCATGAAATTAAATCCCCAGGGGTGAGGAGGGAGGACAGGAGGGAGGAGAGTCTCCAGAGCACATTAAAATTGCAGCTCTTCCTACTGACAATGGAAATTCAAAAGCTGCTGGACAAAGGTCTCTACCTCCAGGGTCAGCCCATCCTGAGCCCAGGAAATTAAAGGGCAGAAGCCCTGTGTCTCTCCAGCCCATTTCCCAGTTCATTTCAGAGGCCCAGCTTTACCTGTAGGCAGAGGCGAGAGACACTGGGCTCCTTAATGATCAGTCCACTGCCAAATCAAGTGACCTTCTCTTTTTTTTTTCTAGTGACCTTTTCTTAGTGCTAATTGGTCCTGAGCTCTGAAGCATTTGACACTGTTGACAACCTCTTCCTCCTGGATAGCCTCTTTTCTCTGAGTTAATGTCTCGTGCTTCTCATCTTACTTACCAGCCATTCTTTCTGTATCTGCTTTGCTGGCTCATTAGCCACATAATGTGCCCCAACAGTGAGTGTACCCCAAGTCTCTGCCCTCTCCTGTCTCTCCATTCTTCCACTCAGTGACCTCACTAGGTTTAAATACCGAGTCTGAGCCAATGACTCACAGATCCATTAAGTCCAGCCCCATTCCCTCCCCTGCCCACAGGAATCCCCAGAAGTGGGTTGAATTCATCCAGTTTGGTAACGATTATATCGCTAGTAAGTAAGAGTGCCAGAATCCAGAGTGAGGTCTCTCAGTTCTAAGTCCAGTGCTCTTATTTACCCTTCACCACCTTTCCTTTCTAAAAGCAAAACAAAACATAAAGCAAAGAGGATTTGATCAAAAAAAAAAAAGTTAAGAATCTAAAATCCCTTCTCAAATTTTGAACTTAAGGGAGATAGGAGACATAAAGGGGACACTAGGCCTTCGTGGAGGTGTGAAGGGTTTGCAAGGGGTGGGCAAAAAGGAGAGAGGGAGCCCCAGAACAGCTGGACCTCTCGCTTTGCACTGCTTAGGACTGAGCAGCCCTGGCCTCTCCCTGACACAGCCGCAAAACAGAAACACACAAGATTCTATCCCAACCTGGCATGTTAGGCACTTAAAAGAGGAAGGAATTAGTTTCTTACTGTCAGCGTCCAAATTCTCACCAAATTAATGGCCAACACCACGACTGTCAGGGCCCAAGGGCTCAGCTGCTGGGCAAGGCTCTGCTTTTGGTTCAAGCTGCAAAAGAGTTACCTTTTTCATCCTGTTTTGACTAAGACTATTGGGCATCCATTCAACTGACATACTCTTGTCACTCATTCTACAACTGTTATGGAGCAAAACCAGAGCTGTCAAAGGAATTTCATTTAAGTCTCAAACATGCCCAGGAGCAAATATCTGTTTCATAAATAATTGTTGCTCCAAACCCAAAGTTGTTGCAGGAACGTTGTGGTCCTTTCCCCCACAGACTCCACTTAATGGAGCCATTGTCCCACTGTCATGAAACCTTGGGAGGACTTCTGATTTATTGCACAAGAACACGATGGGTTGGGTTTTTATTTTTAAACCACCGACTAAGGCACCAAAGTTAGCTTCATATGAGCGATTTTTGTTCCATATGGGTTAGTAATAGCCAAGAGCTGCAGAAAGACTATGAGGAAGCCATGGATATAGATTGTTAGGTGCAGATGCCTCCCCAGAAGACACCTGTGTCACCCAAAGGCCTTCTTCCTAAACGGCATACTGCCTAGGAGGCTTGTGGGGTTCTTGGAGTACATACATTGTCTGGGATATTCGGGGGATGATTGCATCTGAAGCGATAGCCTTTTTTTACAGTTATACAGGAGGAACTGGACTTTAAACGCAGGTCACAAGATAGCCATTAGAGGACACTGATTTGTTTCAAGAACGAGAGTATGGTGACTCAGTTGCTCATTAGACCCTCCTCCCCGTCGGTCACTTCTAAACCCAGAGACATGAGAACAGTTAAAGCGCAAGGACCTTTCCAGAAGACAGAGAGGAGAAAGTGGCTAAAAACCCACTGATCTTAGCATTGCTTGAATATTAGAGAGACCTACTTACTTCTGAAAGCATCAATACCAACAAATATTGATAGAGGGCCCATTGCTTGCCATGGTGGAGCAAGCATGCTACAGAGTTGGAGTATTCCATTATGTAATAGAATGAGTTTCACTAATAGGTTGCTTCTATCTTAAATCACTGAATTTACTATCCAATTAGTGTTTGGGGCTAATGGAAAGAGGCCACAATGCAAATGGAGCTCTAACCCAGATCTAGAAATTGGTTGGTATTTATGAAGTAAAACCACCATCTTCCTTCTTTCCCCGCCCTCACCCCAGAGCCACCTTGGTATCATTCCCCTGTGTTCCAACCTCCACTTCCAACAGATACCCCAGCTCTCTGGGCTCCTGGTTAGTACAAGTCCTCCACATCTAGAACACTGTTACGGTGCCACCCACCCCTGCCTGGCTTCTTGCTCAGGGGACAATCAATGTCCCCAGACAACAGATTGATGCTACCATTTCCAGAAAGGACATGTCAGTCAATTGCCTTATGGCTCCATTTCTCATTCCTGTGTGGCAGCTAGGGCCAAAGTTGGATTCAGCAAGACCTGAGTTTAAATCCTGCCACAGATACTTAATAGACCCTAATCTCTCAGCCTAAAACATCAATGAAGATAAAATGAATTAACATGCAAAATTCTTTGCAAAGCTTAAAATTTTATATGAATTATTTTCCTTTCATTTTGCAATGACTTCTCTAACCAAGACAACTCTCCCTGGCTACTGCCACTACCCTACCTGTTCTGTCTTCAAATATTAGAATGTAAGCTTCTTAAGGGTAGGGACAATCTTGCTTCTTATACTTACATCCTCAAAGTGCTTCTAGTAAGTAAATGCATAGTACGTGCATTTTTTCCTCTGTCATTCATTCACTATCCCATTTCTCCCATATTCCCGTGAATTTCCCTGAGCCAATGGAAACATTCTTCCTGCTTCCTGCCTCCCTAAAAACCTTCCCTCCTAGATGACCCACTTATCACCCAGCACGATAGGAAAACTGTCAGATGTGACTAAAATATTACTTGGGGCAGAAATCTTCATTTTTTCCCCTTTGTAGTCCCAAGACTTCATACAGCAACTTGTACCTAATACGCAATTTATATGTGTTGGTTTGGATGAAGGATTTGTTTTTTACATATTATTGATTTGGGTGTTTACCATTTTGTTGAGTGTTTCAAATAAATTTTTAGTTGAACTATGTTGCTTAGATCTTGTGCCCAGGTATCATCTTATCAGCCAATTATTCAAGTTTATGTATCTCTGGTTTTCCCACTTATACTGTAAGTATATGTGTTCTGTTGATACTCAGCTGTCTAGGCCCTGGGAAGTGGAAATAGTTTGTGCCACAAGCAAGAGGCTACTCCCCTGTAGGGTAAGCTGGCAAGCCTTTTGATCTGGTTCATAAAAAGCATACTTAACACAAGGGCTCTGAAAAGTCCCTGGGAAATCCCATAATTACATATCCATTGTCATGTTTGCCTAGGCACTGAACAGGCAGCCTCCTCCGGGCACATGGCTTCATTAGCACCTCAGGGAAAAAGGGTCATGAGCCAACTGCTTCCCAAGCCTACAAAGACCCAGCAGTAAAGCTGTGCCTTGCTCCCTGGAAATATAGACCAACTTTCTTTGGCTCTCAGGGCCTCCAGTGTGTGTGTGTGTGTGTGCATGTGTGTATGTGTGTGTGTGTGTGTGTGTGTGTGTGCGTGTGTGTGTGTGTGCGTGTGCATGCATGCGCATGTGGTAATTCATAGAAACCACATAAATCCAGAAGGGAGAAAGAGCCCTGTAGCATTCTGTCTTCCTGGCAAGAGCCAGGGGGGCTAAAAGTGGATTCTTGATTCACTCTAAGATACTGAATTGTAGTCATAATAAATGTGAGTGGGGCCAGGCTCCTTCCTGCATAGCAGACATACTTATGTAACTGTGGGTCAAAGCTTCCCATGGTTGGGTCAGGGGGCTGCCTGGGCTCCACCATGGGGGCAGCACAAAGGCTTGGCTGATACTGTCATCCAGAGACATGGAAAGATCTCCATTCCCCAGCCTCACGTCTGCCCAGAAGGGTGGCACTGACTCTGTACTTAAGGATCACAACATCTGAGAAGAACATGCTAAGGTGCAAAGAAAATCCAAAACCGATGACCAAGGAAAGTGTGGCTCCAAGACACCCACAACAAATTCTCTGTTGTCATTTGGACCCAGGAGAGATTCTGCAGATGGGGCCTTCTCAGTGTCTCTGAGGCCACCAGGGCTGGGGCCCCTGGCTGCTCTGCCTGGGTCCTGACTTCCTTTCATGTAGAAGTGACCTTTCTGTCTTCTGTGGTGTCAAACCTACTGCCCATAAAATTCCAAAGTGCTACCTGAACCTAATTAAAACATAGTTGGGGAATGTTTAACAAAAATAAATAAAAAGAAAAGAAAATATGGATGATGTTAATTTGTGGTTTTCTGAGTCAATATTCAGCCTACAGAAATCTGTTCTTGCTCAGGGTTTGACACCACTGGCCTGCTTCAATCAATTACACTAGTTTACCTGTTCCATGAAGGCTCCCCTTGGCTGCCACCAGCTCCTGATTTCAGAGGTGCACAGGAGCATAGACGTAAGCAGGCAGGGAACCACTGATCCCAAATGTCCAGAATGCCTCCAGCTGGGCTTCAAGTTTCTTCAGTGCCCTCTTCTCTAGTTGCCTTTCCTTCCAACACAGAGACCAGGCTTTGGAGGACTTAACCCTTTCACTTCTGAACCTTCAGCCCTAAGATTCCACTGTCCTAATTGGTGAAGACCTAACATCTAGGATGTGACTTCTGCCTCTAGGATGGCCCCACACATGCTCCGAGTCATTCCCTGACCATCATTTTAACCAGCTGCCTTCTCATCTCTATTCCATCATTCTCCAGTCCTGGAACCACCTGGCAATTAGAAGTTTACTGTCCATTTCAATGGAGTTCATTGCAATAAGCATTTACTAAACTTTTATTTCAAACCATCTATAATATGGTGGTGGCAACAGTGGAAGCTTTCATAGCTCTCAGTCCAGGGACAATGAGGGGGTTGGAAAACATCTCAGAAAGAGGTTAAAGGAGACCCTTTGCTGACTGGCAATTCTTGCCCACATGCTGTTCTGGGTTGAAGAGCTCAAGAGATCAGTCACAAGGGAGCAGGGACCCTGGTCAAGGTAACAAAGCAGAGAACATACTAGTGCATGTAGCTGCAAGAGACTGGGGGCCATTCCTTGATAAAGACCAGAGTGCAGACCAGGAGAGCAGTGACCATACCGCTCCCAGGATCACATCACCTGAAAGCACCAAAAACTTTCAGACCCCTAGAACTGGCTCTGAAAACAGCACCATGAAAAAGCCTGAAGTATGGGACAGTGACTCTCCACCTCCAGGTGAGTAGAGCCCAAATTTAACATAAAGTTCAAAGGCAAGAAATAGACTGCAAAATGATCAAACAACAACAAAAAATCAATTTTACCATAAAAAGCTACTATGGAGGCAGGGAAGACCAAGACTTCCAGAAGAAGACAGTAATATGAAAACAGCTACCAAAAAAAAAAAAAGCCTCAAAAAAAATACTAATTGGACCCAAGCCCAACAAGAATTCCCGGAAGAGTTAAAGAAAGAGATAAGAGTGGTAGAGGAAAAATCAAGAAAAGAAATGAGAGGTTGGCAAAAACAAATTATAAAAAGAGAATTAACAGCTTGGTAAAAGAGACACAAAAATACTGAAGAAAAATAATACCTTAAAATGGAATCAGTCTCATGTAGAATAGGCATAAAGATTCACTGAAGAAAAGAACTTCTTTAAAAGCAAAATTGACTAAGTGGAAAAAGAGGTACAAAATCTCACTGAAGAAAATAATTCCTTAAAAGCTGATGACTCCATGAAATATCAAGAAACAATAAAAGCCAAAAGAATGAAAAAATAGAAGAAATGTGAAATATCTCATTGGAAAAACAACTGACCTAGAAAATAGATCAAGGAGAGATAATTTTAAAATTATTGCACTACCTGAAAGTCATCATCAAAAAAAGAGTCTAGGAATCATATTCCAAGAAATTATCAGGGAAAACTGCCCCACTATTCTAGAACCACAAGGTAAAATAGAAATTGAAAGAATCCACCAATCACCTCCTAAAAGAAATCCCAAAATGAAAACTTCCAGGAATAATTATAGACAAATTCCAGAGCTCTCAGGACAAGGAGAAAATACTTCAAACAATGAAAAAGAAAAAATTTAAATATCGTGGAGTTACAATCAGGATCACACAAGATTTAGTAGCTTCCACATTAAAGGACTGGAAGGCTTAGGATGTGATGCTATGGAGGGAAAAGAAGCTAGGATAACAACCAAGAATCACCTACATAGCAAAACTGAGTGTAATCTTTCAAGGAAAATAGATATTTAATGAAATAGAGGACTTTCAAAAATTCCTGATGAAAAGACCAGAGCTGAATAGAAAATTTGGCATTTAAACAGAAAACCCAAGAAAAGCATTAAAAGGTAAACATGAAAGAGTAATCATAAAGGACTCAATAAAGTTAAACTGTTTACATTCCTATTTAGGAAGGTGATACCTGTAACTCCTAAGAACTTTATCATTATTAGGGCTACTGAAAGAGTTATCAACACAGGGGCTGGGTACGTGTTGATTATGTTGGAATGATCTCTAAAAATAAAAAGGGGGTAGAAAGAGGGATACCCTGGGAAAAAGAGGAAGGGAGAAATACAATGGGGGAAATTTTCACATATAAAAGAGGCGCCCAAAGAAGAGCTTTTACAATGGAGGGAAAATGGGGGTGGCAGGCAATGCTTGAACCTCACTCTCATCAGAATTTGTTCAATTGAAAGACTGCATATACACAGTTGTGAATAGAAATATAACTTACCCATTAGGGAAAGAAGAGGGGAAGAAGACAGAAGGAAGGAGGGAATGATAAAAGGGAAGTCAAATTAAAGGTGGCAGTGGTTAGAAACAAAACAGGCTTTTGAGAAGGGAAGAGAAAGAGAGAGAGAATAATGAGACGGAGGGGAAAACACAGTCATCATAACTGTGAGTGTGAATGGGATGAGCTCACCCATAAAATGGAAGCAGATATGTTGTTTACAAGAGACACATTTGAAACAGGAAGATACATAGAGCTAAAATAAAGGATTTAATATGTTTCGAATGAAGTAAAAAAAAAAAGGCAGGGGTAGCACCCATGATCTCAGACAAAACAAAAGCAAAAATAGACCTAATTAAAACAGATAATAAGGAAACTACATTTTGCTAAAAAGGTACCATAGACAATGAAGTAATATTTTTAAAAATACACTATTTCTCTGATAAAGATGTCATTTCTTAAATATATACCAAGTATAGAACTGAGTCAAATTTATAAAAATAAGAATCATTCCCCAATTCATAAATGGTCAAAGAATATGTACAGGCAATTTTCAGAAGAAGAAACCAAAGCTATTTATAGTCATATAAACATGCTCTAAATCACTATTGATTAGAGAAATTCAAATTAAACAGCTCTGAGGTACCACCTCACACCTATCAGGAATGACAATTGCTGGAGGGGATGAGAGAAAAATAGGTAAAGTAATGAATTGCTGGCAGAGTTGGGAACTGCTTCAACCATTCTGGACAACAATTTGGAACTATATCCAAAGAACTATAAAACTGTGCATACCCTTTGACCCAGCAATACCATTACTAAATCTGTATTCCTAAGAGATCAAAGAAAAGGACTTATATGGATAAAACTATTTATAGCAGCTCTTTTTGTGGTGGCAAAGAATGGGAAATTGAGGGGACGTCATCATAGCTGAACAAGCTGCGGCATGTGATTGTGATGGCATACTATTGTGCTAAAAGAAATGACAAGAGGGGCAGTTTCTGAAAAACATGGCAGGACCTCTATGAACTGATTCTCTAGAGGGGACTTTAGAGAGCACCGAGTCGAGCTCCCTCACTTTACAGATGAGGAATCTGAGGCGAATGGAGGTTAAATGACACACCCAGGGTCACATGTCTCATAAGTGTCTGAGGTAGGATTTGAAGTCAGACCTCAGGTCTTACTGACCTCACATGCATCCAGCAATGGAATCTGAGAGCCTTGAAAAGTGTGTATTCTCCAGCACAGTGGGTTTTTTTATGATTTTGGTCAAGTCCAGCCACTGTTCATTGTTTATCTTCTCATGTGCCATTTCTATTTCCTATTACAGTATAGGATGCTAATAATAGCAACAAAAATAGATAACATTTTTAAAGTGATTTAAAGTTTGCAAAACATTTTATATACTCATCTGATCCTCACTACAACCTGGGGAGTTGGATGGTATTATTATCTCCATTTTACAGATGATGAAACTGTGGTCTAGAAAAATTAAGCAAACTTGTCTAAAGTCATACATATGTTGTGTCAGATGGGATTTGAATGTAGGTCTTTCTGATTCAAAGTCAAAGTGCTATCCATTATACCATACTAACTATCCTTTTCTCCACACTACGTAGCATAAAGGAGGCATTTAATAAATTTCTTTTGCTATGTAGAATCACACGGCTAAAAATATCTAAGGTGATATTTGAACTCAGGTCTTCTTGACCCCAAGTCCAGTTTCCTATCCATGCCTAGAAGCAACTATGGGATATAGGGAGTAGTGTTGGACCTGAAGTCAAGAAGACCTGAGTTCAAATCCAGCCTCACACACTTATTAGCTGTGTGACCCCAGGCAAGTCACTTAACCTCTGTCTCAGTTAGCACCTACCTCCCCAGTTTCTTGTGAAGATGAAATGAGATAATACTTGTAAAGTCCTTGCCCACTTTAAAGTGCTACATAAATGCTAGTTATTATTATCACAACTGAATACCTCAGAATATCAAAGAATATACTGATTTGGCTCAGAGGATCTTGTCAAATTCTTTGTAGGATCTGTCTATCCCTTCCTGCTCTGCAACAGCTCTTGGTGCATAAATTCCCATGATCTTCATGATAATCTTACATTCACCATGACTCCTACAAGGTGATACAGCCCAATGCCTAATGAAATGATATTCCCAGTTGCCTTCAGGGATGTGATGATAACAAATTCTCAAACTCATTTAGCAGCTCCTACAAGGGGCCCCTGAGAATTATCCTTCCAATTACCTGCATCTTCTTGATTTCTTCTTTATTTCTAGGGTTTTATGAATAGAAAGAATGTTAATAAAGTTCCTAGGTCTCATAGGTTGTTCCAACCCGTTAGTCATTGGACAAAGCTCTCATTTACAGAGGACCGAGAATTGGTTCTACTCCATGTAGGTTCATTCTTTAATGCTCACAGAAAAACTGGAAAAAAGTAATTGTCCCAGTAGCCATTACTGAAATTCATTCAATCAAGTCTTTGCATATCAATAACATTATCAATAATTGACACTATTATTGATACTATCAATATTGATACTATTATTGACACTAGTATTTAATACAGTGCTTGAAAGACACAAAACTAAAATGAATAGAGCCAGCCTTGGAGGAAGGAAGGTGGGCTCAAGACTGCTCAGCATATTTTGCTGGTGTGACTGTGAGCAAGTGACTTCACATCGCACTGCCCTCAGACAACTCTCTGAAGATCTAAGACCCAGGTCTCCCAACTGCAAACCTCACCACTGTAACACATTGTCTCTAATAACTGCTCTGTAAATATTTGTTGATTGCCCCCTTGCTGGTCTCCTGGAATAGCAGGTACAGTTCTGGATTAGGAGGAAGATAGACCTGAATTCATATCTCACCTCTGACATTTATTAGTCATGTGACCATGGGCAACTCCCCTAGCCTCTCTTAGCTGCCCTTCTCTCTTCTGTAAAATGAGAATAGTAATGCCAGAGATCTCACCACAATGTGAGTCTCTAATAAGACAAAGCAAGTCAACAATTATCAGCCCTTAAGGTGCTACAGACAACTCAGCTCTGGTTCTTCCTCCTGGATATTCTGGGATGGTCATGGTTGCCTTCCATGCCAGCAGCAGCTGTGTGGGCCCTGGGGGTCCAAGGAGCCCATCATTCTGTCCACACTTTCTTTGGAGGGAAAGCATCACCATGCAAAGTCTCCCTGAAATGCTGTCACCAAGTCTGAGGAATGTGGTTTGTTTGAAGAAGTATGCCGTTCACCACATCATAATAAACAAACCAAGTCTGACTCCTTGGATGGGGCTGGAGCCAGAAAACAGGGAGGAAACTTGCAGGATCATGGACCCAAAGCTGGGAGGGACCTTAGAGGTCATGAAGTCCCACCCCTCATTTTACAGATGAGGAAACTGAGGCCCAGAGACAGAAGGGATGAACTCAAGGTCACCCAAGTAAGAATAGGCAGAACCCAGGTCTTCTGATGCCCAGTCTTCTACTCTTTCTTTTGTTCCATGCTTCATCTCACTGCTGAGGGCTTTTTTTGAACTATGTGCTTCTATCAGGACAAGAGTCAGAGGGGTTCTGAGTGGGAGAGGAGTTGAGTTCTCTGCTGGAGTTAGGTTTCAGTCTTCTGAAGACTAGATCCTCCATCTCTCAGCTCCAGGAATTTTCTCCAGCTGTCCCCCATGCCTGGAAAGTTCTCCTTCCTGCACAAAGCCTTGTCCAAGTTTCAGTGCCTTCCTTCTGTTCATTCCAATTTATCCTGGACAGCACTTACCTGTATGTATTTGTTGGCTTGTGTTCTCTGCCATCAGATTGTGAGTTCCTTGACAGGAGGGTCTGTCTTTTGCCTCTTTTTGTGTTCCTGGCACTTAGTAGACACTTCACAAATGTTTATTGATTGATTAATTGACAGAAATGCCTTCTGGCATCTCCCCTGCCCTTGCTCCTCCCCCTGGGCTTTCCTGCTCTTCAGTCTTCTCTTGGCTCAAACAGGGTAGTCTGGCCTGATTTCTACCTGTTGAGAAGAATGGACCGATTAATTAGCATTTGCCAAGGAAGTGCTTATCATAAACCCTGGGCACCAGGGGCACACAGACAAAAATGACATGGGCATGCCGTCCAGGAGTTTATGTTCTAGGAGAAGAGATAACAAGTACATAAAATCATAAGTACTAGTACCTGAGGGATCAGGAAAGACCTCAGGTACGATGCAGTGTTTGGTCTAAGCTTTGAGGCCAACTAGGAGTGACAATGACCATCTCTTGGAGCATTATGGAGATAGGCCTGGGCTTGGATCATTTCTGGGGACACATGGGCTCTGGCTGGGATACTGCCCATGGAATGCCAAGCCTGGGCCCCAGCTACTTCTGAGAACATATATGCTCAATGCTGCAAGATGTGGTGCTTTGGGATGACACAGGAATCCTTGAGGGGTCCTTTAGTCCCTCCTGTCCCCTCACTTCCCAGTGGCTATGGAAGTGAGGAGGATATGGGAAGGAAGCTGTTTGAAAGCTGAGTCAGAAATTCACACACTCTGCACCATCTTGCGGAGGGTGGTGGCGAGGAAGGGGGAGAAATTTTTTTAACTCAACAGCATATGGAAGTGATTGCTGATAAATCAAAATAAATTAATCATAAAAACAAAAAAAAATTATCAAATTGAAAAAAAATTTGAACTCAAAAGCTTATGGAAGTGAATGTTGAAAACTAAAAATAAATCAATTTTTAAAAAATTCACACACTCAGTAGACTTTAAAAAGAGTAACTCTAACCCATGACTCTGTCCTCCAACATTCAAGAAAGTGGGACGAGTAATCTCCTTCCCTCCTCCTTCTCTCTCCTTCCCTTCCTCTCACTTCCCTTCCTCATTCCCTCACTCTCCTTCCCTCTCCAATATCCCCAGGTTGGCAGAGTAGTCCTCTCCCCAATCCCAGCAGAAATAGCCATTGTTTATGCATTGGAGCTAGGGAACAGTTTTGCCTAGATGGCCTCTGACGGCCTCTTCTGCTTTGTGTTTCTTTGGGATTCTTTGGTCACTTGAGCACAAGTGACCAAACGACAATCCTGAGATGGATATTTCCAGCACTGGAGACAACCTGGTGGGTTCGGCAGGCCAGATGATCCTGGGTTTGCTTTCAGGAGCCTCCTCCCTGCCCCTTGCACCTAACACAATACTTCTTGGAGAAGATGACCACTGGAAGAAGCCTGAGCCCAAGCCATAGCTTGACCCGCCCGAACATGTGGACCTGGAGGGAACTGTTAAAAGCAGTGCACAGCTGAAGCACAGGCAAAAAGCTCATTCAGTAATTTCACAAAATGTTTCCTGCTTTGATGGTTTAAATATCAACTTGACGAAGGTTATGATGTTAATTATAAGTTACTCCTTCATGCTTGTTTTTGTCACTGCACATTCTTGGTTTTAGCATTCCTTTTGTGTGGAGGATGTCCTATATCTGATCTATAGTGTGCATTGAATACCTTTAAGTCCTCCTTGAGGAGATTCTGGACTTGAGCCAAACTTTTTGCTTTAAATGATTCTCCCCAGGACCTAGGGAGGGGTAGTAAAGAGCCAGAGAATGGGAGAAAAAGAACCTGCCCTCCGCCTTCAGAGAGTAGACTGTTCCAGGACTGATTCCAGTACAGAGCTAGGGCCCCTCCCCTTAAAGGGAGAGGGCAAGCACCCTAGCCTCCCTAGGTACAGCAGCATTCTGCATTTTCACATAGGGGTTCTAAGAAGTTTCCAATTCTTCTGTATCATCTCAATCACCACTTGTATTCTTCCTTTTCTTATTTATACACCATTCCCTGTATTGATGTCTTTATTAGGCATATGGTTGAAATCTCCAAAATCTGTTTTTAAAATGATCATTCTTCATCTTTTAGGAAGATCCTTTGTATTCAAGAGACTTTGAAGGGGACTAGAAAAAGTCATCTAAAGACCCAGAAGACCTGGCTTCAAAGACTCTGCTGACATATACTAGCTGTGTGACTCCATGCAAGCCACTGAACCCCTTTGAGCCTCAGTTTTCTCCCCTGTAAACTCAGGGTACAGCTTGAACTCCCTGCCCTAAAGGACAATCTTGAGAAAAGAGCTTGACGTGCCTTAATAACGTGGACTATGTGTTGTCTCCATAATGACTTTCTGGTCTGCATGATGGATAGATGGAAAGGCTTCACTCCTTTTCCACATATGGTGCAAACTCAGTTGTCACCATCTAAGCACTGAAGAGCATCAGCATTCTATTTTCAATAAAGAACGCAATGGACATTATTAGAGGGTGCAGCTTGAGGTTTTGGTCAAGCTTGTTGCTGGAAAAGCTCATGCAGAATACCAATCTCAGAATGAAATAATGAAAACCAGGCATATTCAGTCCTATGGAACATGCACTGGATAGAAGTCAGCTTAGGTCAGGAATCCAGGCAAGAAGAGGAATGAGAGGATACTCAAGGAGAAGAATTAGCCCAAGAATTTAGGATGGATGTAGGGTATAGGGCCCTGGAAAGAAGGGTTAACAGCAGATGAACCTAATACTGAGGCAAAGTTCAAGAAACCTGCTTAGATCAGTCAAACTCTTGAGTCATAAAAGGTTGCTTGGACTCTATGGTAGTGTGTTTGCCCAGTTATTGGCCATAGTAAGTGGAAATACTATAGCCATGTTGGGTTATAGTATTAGGTCTCAGGCAGGAGAGGCTGGGAGGAACTGATCCCAGAGTGTGAGCAACCCCAAATTTTTAGGTGGGTAAGTAAAACTAGCCAGATGTAGACTTTCCAATTATTTTGGGTGGTGGGGGTGAATGACAGGTAGAAATTGCATGTAAATTATAACAACCATCCCTCCACACACCTGATCAGAAAGTGTCTTCAGCATTATATCCTAATTGGAAGGAATCTCAGAGATAACCTGATCCAATCTGTGTGGACCTGACCTAGAATATCCTCGGTCTTCAATAGCACCAAGAAGTCATCACCCAACCTTTCCTTAAAAACCCAACCATGTTAGAAAGTCTGGGGCCAAGAGTGCTATTTACTAGCCTTCCTTGTCATCTCTTGTCTGTTCTCTCTTCTCTACTCTCATCTCTTCTCTCTTCTTTATCTTCCTCCTCCTCTTCCTTCTTTTTCTTCTTCCTCCTCTCTCTTTCTCTCTCTCTCTGTCTCTCTCTCTCCTCTCCTCTTCTCTTTTCTTCCTCTCACTTATTTCTCTGTGTACATCATGTTTTTTCCCCAATGAATGTAAACTCCTAGAGAGGAGATATTTTCACTTTTCTCTTTATTCCCAGGACTGAACTCAGTGTCAGGCACACAGTGGTTATTTAATAAATGCTTGTTGAGTGAATGAACACAGTGCTTCTTGGGTTCACCAATCTTCCTCATCTTTTTGTCGGTGTTCTCTTCACTGGGGCTCCCACCTGCACACCCTGTTTCCACAGGATGACAGTTCTCAGTGGCTCCCTTTAGAGATTCCAGATTATTGCCAGGTGTAACAGGGCCAAAGGAGCAGGAATGTCAATGACAGACACTGCAGCTTTGTTCTTTACTTCTCTCCAATCATCAAGAAAAGGCATTTATTAAGTGCCAGGCACTGGACTAAACACTGGAGACACAAATTAAGGCAGAAACCATTCCTATTCTCAAGGAACTCACAGACAACATGCAAACAACTATGTACAGAGAGGCTATATAAAGGATAAATTGGAGATCATCTCAGACAGGAGGCAATAGCATTAAGAGGGTCAGGTAAAGCTCTTTGTAGAAGATAGGATTTTAGTGGGGGACCCAAAGCAAGCCAGGGAAGCTAGAGATGATGATGGAGAGTCTTCTGGCATGGGAGATGGCCAGTAAAAATGTATGGAGTCAGGAGACGGAGCATCCTATGGCAAGAACAGCAAGGAGGCAAGAGTCATGGGACCAGCAGGACTGTGGAAAAGAACAAAGTTTAAGGAAAAGTTATAAAGGAAAGAATTAAGGCAAGGAGACTCTTCAGAAGGCTATGACAATAGACCAGGCATGAAGTGAAGAGCACCTGTGGAGGGAAGAAGTGGGTGGAGGGGGATTGGAGGCATTAGGAAGGCAAAATCAACAGGCAACAGATTGGATATGGAGGGTGGGGACACCTTCCAGGGTTTCTAGTGACATCTCTGAGCTTCAAGGCAATTTGTATGACCTGGTATATTTTATGGGAGGACGTGGAAGAAGGAGAGGAAGAAGGGAAAGTGACAGAAGAAAGGTAAATAGGCAGAGGTGTGTTTTTTTCCCCAAACACTCCGCAAGACATGTTGACCTAGTCTGGGGTCACAGTGAGTGAGCTCTGAGTCAGGGAAGAAGTCACCCTCCTCAGCCAGGAGAGAGCACCATGGTAAGACCTCTGCTTGAGAAGGATTCTCAAGGTCTTGACAGATGAGTGAGTGGCCACTTCACCTACCAGCAGGTGGAGCTGTAAGCTTGACTATCATTAGAATGATGCGTGTTAACTAATCCTGAGGCATGTTCATCCTAGGACATCTCATTCCAAAAGAGCTATGAGGTCTCCCTGAGGAATCGGCCACAATAAGAAGCAGTTGGCAACAAGACAGATACAATGTAGCCACAGTAACATCATTTCCGAGTCTTTGCCGGTCAAAGTGGCAGAGGGGCTGGTTTCTGGACCACTGTAGAAGGCAAAGCAGAAGAACAATGAGACACAGAGCCACGATTTGGAGGAAGAAACCAGAACCTTGCCTTTCCCTGGTACTGTGAGTCATGTGGACTGCATAGGACCTCAAGGAAGGTGGGGCCCACCAGAAGGAAAGTTTGCTAGACCATCAAGCCCAAAATAACAGAATGTGTCTGAAGTGGCTGCATACGCCACTGGTGGAAGGCTAGACTCAGCAAAGGAGAAAGTTTTCTTGACAGTCTCTTGGCTTGGGGATGAGTCATGTGGATATTCTTTGTTTTCTGTGATGAACTTGTTTGGTGCTTCATATCTCGTTCACTTGATGCTGGCAGGGGAATTGAAGACACCCAATGGAAAGTGAAAAATGCACTGAAATCAGTCAGTCAGTAAACATACAAGCTCCTACTATGGGCCAAAGTGCTGGGGATACAAAAAGAAACAAAAGACAGTCCCTGCCCTCAGGGAGCTCACAGTCTAATAGACAAGCACAAGAATCTGTACAAACAAGCTGTGTCTACAATAAGTAGGAAATAATTAAAAGACGGAAGGAATCGGCCACAATAAGAAGCTGTTATAGAGGAATGCCTCCCTGATTAAACTGGGTTACCTTCTGTCCTCAATTAACAAGCAGATTATACAAGTTTCCCTGCTCTTCACTCACCACCTGCTTCCATAATATTTGTGTTTGTATTCCCAGTGCCCAGCACTCCCTTGTGTTCATCTGTGTTCTCTCACAGCAGAGGAAAGTTTTCCCAAAAAAAATATCATTATAACAGAGGGAAGTAAGACAGGCTTTTATACACTCATTGAGCTAAGAACCTCCCATTTCTAGAACTACTAGAAGCCCAAGATGTTCTTCTTGTAAACTTCCTGGGCTACCAGCCCCATCACGTGGCCAGCTTCTTTGCAGCATTTGGGGCAGGATTTGACATGGGTTCCTTCCCAAACTGTTCCCTACCACCTCTGAGGCTCATGGTCCTCCAACCAGGCCATCTCCAGTCATCATGATCTATATCTTGCCACTGCTCCAGAATGGCTCCAGAGGAGAGAGTGAGGCTGGTGACTTTGCATAGCCCTGCCTCACTTAAATCCAATTCTCTTGCAAATCATGAGATCGCCTTCCTGATGTCATGGTCTTCTTGGAGAAAAAAGGACAAAGGACAGCAATCCTCCAACCATCCATAGTCCTCCATGTGACCCACCACCACCACCCACCACCACCCCATTTAAACATTGGAGACTTTCCCTGCTGCTGTGGATTAGCCCTGCTTTATCTTGTCTGTGGCTTCTTGGTGTGTGGTTGCTTGCAGTCTGGCCCTCTCATTACTGGTTTGTACCTTTCTTTGTATCCTTGCACTCCGTACAGCGCCCAGCATGTAGGAGGCACTTCATGAATGCTTGTTGACTGACTGCTGTTGGTCCTGCTAGAGCCCTCACCTCTGTGCTCAGAGCCCCCACTATATAGGCTCAGTTTGGGGTAGAGAAGCTAGAAGAGGGGAGAGGCTATGCCCCCAGTGCCACCAGGGATCAGAGCTGGGAAGGGAGAGCCTGGCCCCCCTGCTTCCTCCTCCAGTGTGGAAGTCTAGTCTCTCTCTACTCCCTTCCATGGCACATTGGGTCCTGAAGCCACTACCCAGATTTCTCCCACCACCCCATCTCCATCCCAAAGGAAGTTTTTTCTAAACCACAGGAGGACATTGTTTGCCTTTTGCTCTGATTCCCTGGCCCCTGAATTGTTAGCAATGCTGCTACTACAGCCGTGGTAGCTCGTCTATTCATCACTACCACCTGGTCTTCAGTGTCCCCCCAACACACACAAACACACACACACACACACATGCCAAAGGGAAAAAAAGGGAGCAGGAGCTAGAAAGAAAGCAATTCCCATTTGCTGATTCCCAGTGGGAGAGAGAACAAATAAACAGAAGTGGGAGGATTATAAGATCATAGATGTTGAGTTAAAAGAGCATTTAGAGACCGAGTCCAACACCCTCATTGTACAGATGAAGAACCCATACCCAGGGTCACATAGTTAATAACTACCCTAGGCAAGGATTTGAAGTCACTTCATCCAGGCCTGTGTGACCACTACATCCCTCTGTCCCTCAGAGTCTCCAGAAACAGCTGGCCCAGGCTCCAAGCATCTATCAGTAACTACAGCAGATTCCTACCCTCTCCCCACTCCATCCCCTACTAAGATAGAGGAGAATAGGGGACAGGCAAGGCTCTTACCATCTCCATCGCTAGACTCTCCCACTGAGTACAAAAGCTGTTATTTGCCTCTTAAGAGATTGGGGAAGGGGGATTTTTTCCCAGAGAAACAGCAAAAGAGGGGTTCATCTACGAGTTAAGGAGTGAGTAAAAGAAAAATTGCCTTCTGATTTGAATTGATTGACAAAGTCTTCAATTTAAAAGAAACAAGGGTCAGCACTTACACAGAATTGGAAGGTGAAACTACAATAGTAGCCACTAAAGACATACCAAAAGATACAACAATTTGGGTAATAAACACATTGAGGGGATTCTGCCACAGCACAGAATGCAAGGCAATATACAAAAATGTCAGTGAAAGATAATGCAGTAAATGTAAGTAGAAACCTAAAGGACTTAAACCGGAAATATGCAGCCCTTCAGCTTTATCTGGGTCAGATCACTTTAATTGAGGAGCAAGTGGCAGCTCTCGAGCAGGCAGCTTACAAGTTGGATGCATATTCAAAGAAACTAGAAGCAAAGTACCAGAAGTCAGAGAGGCGATGAACAAATTCATTAGCACAAAGACTTTACAAGAATGTCTCCTAAGAGCTGAAATAAGTGGGATGGAACTTGTCACTGTACTTCAATTTCTAAAAGGAAGCGGTGCTGCTGATCCAAGGAGAATCCCAGCCCTCACCTCTGGTTGGATGTGTAACTTTGGCCACCCGTTAATGCTTCCTACACCTGTAGCCCCTGGAATCCTATCCTGTGCTTCACTGTGTGCCCTGGACCAAGGCTCAGAAATCAGGATCAACCCCGTCTGGAGCAGACACAAAGGAGAGGTTCTCATCTCCCTGTCTCCTCCCTTCTTCCCTCTCCCCTAGGCCTCCCCCCCAACCCTGTTCATAACCTGTTCTTCAACTTAAATAATAAACACCAACTTATGACCCCCCCAAAAAAAAGGTAGCAAAGAGGATTGTTTTTTTAAAAAAAAAAACAGACAGAAGAAGTAAAACAGAATAAATGTAGTACAAGAAAGACCAATTAAGCAACTAGAATTTCTAAAGTGCCTACTAAGTGCTAGGCTCTGTAGGAGGCACCAGGAATCCAAAGACAACAGTGAAACACTTAAGGAGAATAAAAGCAAAGGACAAAGCCTGAGTGTCTCAGAACTCTGAAGATAAAGACAATTCAGGATAAAGTAATTGACATGGAAGACAGATCTGGAAGTTCAGAGATTAGATTAATTGGAATCCCAGAGAATAAACAGGAGACACAAATGCCCCTACATGAAAATAAATCACTATGGAAAAACAATTCCCAGAATAGAAAAATAGGAATTATTGGGGGGGGGCCCCTCAGGGAAGAGATCCATAGGTCCCCTACAAGGAAAAACCCCAAACTCCAGTCTCTGAGGCATGTAATTACCATATCAAAAGATAAAGACCGAGACATTCTTTCAGATTCTTCAAGAGCCAAGAACATTTTTTTTTTTTAGAAAAGAATGAATGTACCCTAAAGTATGGATTAGAAGCTCCCTCTGCTGCTTCATTGAAGTCCAACTTCTACGTCTCATCGGGGTGGAGCGCTGACCCTAGGTTCTCAGACTCCAAACCTTAAGCCATAGCAGGAACCGATGAGCTGGAAAGATGTTGACCGAGTCCCAGGGATTGACAGTCTATCACCAAGAGAACCAGCCTCTAGGGTCATGATGGTTTCGGACCTAGCAGCTCTCAAAGACTGCCAACAACAGATAAATGGGATCAAGGTTGGAGAGCAGCTGAGGCAAAGGGGCAATCGTCAGGTCCCCAGAGTCCTTCGGCTCAAGTCCTTGAGGTGTTTGGCTCAGGTATGGTCTAGGCTTTTGTTTGTAATTTGTTTTCCTGCTGAGGTTTTTGTAGGCTTACGCGGCGTCCAGGCTCCCCTGCGCTCCTGCTGCAGACACTGCCAGCAGCTGTTCCATAGAGGCAGGGCTGCTTCTAGGGTTTTTATAGGAAGTTACAACCGCTCTGGACTTTGAACCTCAGGAAGTCCTCCTCCGGTCTATGTAGGGTAGGGAAGAAGAAACTGAGGCACCCTCCTCCTCTCCTCTTCCCCCAATCCTGACCTCCCAATGGCTCCTTGTAGGACACTGGCTGGAATGTTCTCTCCTAACTCCTCAGCTCCTTCCAATTACCAATTCCAACTAGCTGGTGGTTCAGAACCAAGTCCTTCAGCCAATCCAAACAGATTTCCTGTTGCAACTAGGGAAATATGGCCTCGTTCACATCTAGTCTATAGTCTCCTTGATCAATTCCAGAATCATGTATTCTCACTTGGTTACTTGGCACTTACTTTAAAGGTGGATAGAGTGGGAGTGACATGAATGCTTTACTCAGTCACTCCCCCACCTGAACACTTCTTGCCTCTTTTAACAATCAGTCTACACTGTTTGATTATCCCTATAGAAATGAAAGCAGAAGACTGGACAAAGAAATCATCATCTAGCCTACAGATGCTGTCTCTCTACGGCGAACTATAGCAAGTGCTCAGACAGGAGGCACAGACTTCTTGCTGGAACTATACTCAGTCTTTTCCGTAATTGCAGAACCTAATGAGCTGGTAGTGTAGCTATAGGCAGCTAGGTAACTCAGGGTCTGGAGTTCAAATACAGCCCCAGATGCGTATTACCTGTGTCACTTTGGGCAAGGTACTTAACCTTTGTCTGCCTCGGTTTTCTTAACTATTAAAATGAGGTTAATATTACCTACCTCCCAGGATTATTGTGAGGATTAAATGAAATAATGTTTGTAAAGTGCACTTGGTACAGTGCCTGGTACATGGTAAGCACTATATAAAAAATAAGTGCTACAATTTGGAGCTGTGCCCAAATGGTTATAAAACTGTGCATATGCTTTGATCCAGCAATAGCACTTCTAGGGCTGTATCCCAGAGAGATCATAAAAAATGGGAAAGGACCCACATGGGCAAAAATATTTATAGCAGTTCTTCTTGTGGTGGCCAAGAATTGGAAGTTGAGGGGATGCCCATCAACTGAGGAATGGCCGAACAAATTGTGGTATATGAATGTAATAGAATACGATTGTTCAATAAGAAATGCTGAGCAGGTGGATTTCAGAAAAGCCTAGTAAGACTTACATCAACTGATGCAAAGTGAAGTGAGCAAGACCAGGAGAATAGTATGCACAATAGTAGCAATATTGTAAGTGATCATCTAGATATTCTGATCAAAACAATGGACTTATGATGAAAAATTCTATCCACCTCCAGAGAAAGAACTGATAAAGTCTGAACGAATGTTGAAGCATACTTTTTTTGCTTTATTTTTCTTCGGGTTTTTTTGGTCTGTGTTTTCTTTTGCAACATGACTAACATGGAAATATGTTCTGCATGACTTCACATGTATAATCTATATCAAATTGCTTGCCTTCTCGAGGGTGGGGAGGGGAGGAAGGGAGAGAGGGATTTGGGAACTCAAAATTTTTTTTAAAAATGAATGTTCAACATTTTTACATTTGATTAAAATATTCAATGAAATAACAGTATATTGGGGGAAAATAAATGAGGGTACTGGAGATAAATTTGTAATGAAATGAGATCTAAAGAAGAAAGAATTGGAAAGAAAATTAAAAGCTTGAAATATAAAACTTTGCCCATGCAACAAACTCCCTGAAAATTAAATAGACCAAATAGAAGCCAATAATTCATAGAGATAACAAGAAATACTAAAACAAAGTCATCTCTAGGGCAGGGGATGAGGGGAGAAAGAAATTTACGTGATAATTTTGTTGTATTTTTGAAAGCAATAGCAAGTTGTACATAGCAGACTTACAGTTTCATGTACAATCATCTTTTTTATTGTACTCTGTTATGAAAATGCTTGTTTTGTTCTGAAAGTTAAAAATAAAACAACAAACAAAACAAAGTCAAAAATTGAAAAAATATAAGAAAATATAAGCTACCTCACAACAAAAACAACTGACAGGGGAAACAGATTAAGGAGAAAAAACTTTAAGATGGTTATCACTGGATTATTTGCAAGTCATGGCCAAAAAAAAAAGAAAGAAAGAAAGAAAAGGATCTAGACATCGTATTTCAAGAAATCTTAAAAGAAAACTGCCAAGATCTCTTAAAAGCATAGGGCAAAGTACAAATTCTGCAAGCAGCCAGAAAGAAAGAAGTCAAGACTGAAGAAAAATAGACAACGAGGGGCAGCTAGGTGGCTCAGTGCATAGAGCACCAGCCTTGGATTCAGGAGGACCTGAGTTCAAATCTGACCTCAGACACATAACACTTACTAGCCGTGTGACCCTGGGAAAGTCACTTATCCCCATTGCCTAGCCAAAAAAAAAATGGACAAGGAAATAGAGAATTTCCAAGAATTCCTGATGAAAATACCAGAGCTGCATAGAAGCTTTGAAGTTCAAGCACAGGAATTAAGATAAATGTTTAAAAAATGGTAAAGAAAAGAAATAAAAAAAATTAAAATTGAGAGAAATAATAAATACAATTGAACAATAATTAGGGGCTAAACCAGGATAAACTGCTTATATTCAAATGTGGGAAGATGATACATGTATCCTCTTTGAACAGTATTATCATTAAGTATCATAAAGAGAGTCTAATTATGTCTTGATAAACTTAAAAGAAAAATGAAAGAAGAGAGGGAAGAGAAATACGCTAGGGGGAAAGGCAAAGGAAAATAGAGGAAAACTATCCCACAAAATCAGGCTATCCAAGTAGAAGTCTGTACAAAGAAGCACTAGAGGAGCAGCTAACTCTTGAACCTCACTCTGATCTGAACTAGTGAAAGGACGGAAGAACACACATACACACACTTGCAGAGCTGAATTCAGAAAGACATTTCACTCAAAAACAGGGGGAAAGGAGAGAAGGGAGAACTAGCAGGAGGGTAAATTAAGGGAGAGATTAGTCCTAAGCAAAACAAACTCCAACCAAGGATCTGCAATTTTAGAGAACTCATGCAACATGCTGCTACCCACCTCCTGACATAGAGGTGAAGAGCTCAGAATGCAGAATGAGATACACACATAAACATGTATATATAAAACACACACACACACACACACACACACACACGTACACACTAGCACAGCTTTTGGACATGGCTAATGTAGAAATTTGTTTTGCTTGACTCTACGTATTTAAAACAGCTGTTTTGTTTTCCTTTTGGGGGGGAATGAGATTTTTACTGAGTCAAAAAAATGTAATTAAAAAATAAATAGTTGTTGAACAGTTCACATGTGGTTTGTGCTAAGTGGCTTCTTGGGTCACTCCCTGCTATGTGACTCAGTGATTCTTTTCTTGTAGTTTCCTCTTGGATTGTTTTCTCTGAAGACTTTGTAAGGCTACCACTGGATGCTAGTTGATTTTTTTTCTCATAGTTTCCCATTTTCCCATAGGATACAGTGTGATGAAGTAAATTAATGTCAATATGGTAAAATCTGTCCACCCCTTCCCCCTGTCTTACTCACATCACATGATCTCATGAATTATCAAGAAGATGTTTCTGGTATAAATCAACTTGCTGGCTGACACTAGATCCATGAAGAGCTAAATCAGAAGTAAGAAGTGACCCTGTGGGATTGGGGAATTTCTTGTGTTTTCCCAACACAGACAAGAGAAGGAAAAAACCCCAGAGGGTACTCTAATTCAAGTGCAGCTCTCATTAGGTAGCCCCTGAAGCCCCCAAATTCTGTGATTCCAATCATATGTAGAATTATTAAATTCCCAGGAATTCAAAGCATGAATTTATCCTTTATCTGAAACACACATGCAGCCTCCCATGCAACCAGATACAACTTTTTGTCCTTAAACTTTTTAAAATTTGAGTTTTTTTAATGAATTTTTTCTAACAAGATTTTTTTCTGATTGACTCTGAGACATGATCGACAATAATGAGTACTGATAATGACAGAGGCAATGCCAGAAGCATAGCACAGCCAGTAATTCCCAGCTTGTCAATGGATCCTGAGATTTAGAGATGGACTAAAAGACATGAAGGCACCGCAGTGGACACAGTGCTCGCTTTGGTCCCAAGGGACTTAGGTTCAAAATGTGTCTCTGCCATTCATTGTCTGGGTGGCCTTGGGAAAACCACTTCATCTATAAGGATCTCAGTTTCCTTAACAACTATAAAATGGAAGATTAGGATTAGATGACCTTATATTATGTTAGCAGAATGTAAGGTCCCTGTGGGCAAGGATTGTTTTGGGGTTCTTTGTCTTTGTATCCCAAGTGCCTAGCACAGTGCCTGGTAAGTAGTAGGTATTTAATAAATGCTGGTTGATTGACTGATTGATTGGTTGACTGGAGTTCTGTTCCAACTTCCTCATTTTGCATGTAAGGAAACCAAAGCCTGGAAAGGGCAAACCATTCACTCAGTCACACATGGAGAAAAGTTGCCCCTCTGTGTTGTGCTCTCCAGCAAGCCTTGCTACCATTCATGTACACAATGCACCCTGCCCTGCCTTCAGCAGTTTCTCTGGGTTATGACATCATTGTGACAAAAGACCCAGAATGATGTCACAAAGGGAGACCCATCCCCTGGGAAGCCATCTCATCCCCAGCCTTGACAACTTACTGAACCACGGAGACCCTGCTGTCATGCAGACATCATCTGAGCCAGGGTAAGTCCCAAAGAAGCACATACCACAGCTGCAATCCATTGGCAAGGCTTCTGCGGACCATAGTTCAAAAGCTTTCTATAGTGTCTTGGCAGCCCTGTGAAGACACTGACGGAAAATTACACTCAGAGGCCTCATTTATATTTGACATTTTACAAGGAGAGGCCAGTGGCTGCTGGAGCTATGCTATCTGTTCTCTGCAGCTGACTAGGGGCCAGCTATGTGCATCTCTCTCCTGCACCCGAGAAAACACACTCTGTTGGGAGCATGGAGTCAGCCAACATCTTCGATGGGCAGGATGCTGGATCTGCCAGCCCCGGCTGGGCCAAGTCCTTCTCTCCTTCGTTTTTTAAAACCCTCATGTATTCCAAGAGAAATATAATCCATGTGTTCCTGATTCATTTGCACTTAAATCATTAAAATGTTGTTCTGTGAGAATCATTTGATGTCTGAGAAGCCGAGTCTTTTAATGAGACTTTAAAAGCCCTTTGCTTTTTTGCTTGAAACAGAAAGTCTCAGCTTGCCAAAAGAGTCCCGACTCAGGCTCTTCTCTCATTCCTTCCATTTGTACCCACAAAGTGGGCGGGAACCATTCCATCACACCCTAGCTGGCAAGACAAGCTACTGAAAGTGTTGAGAGAGAGAGAGAGAGAGAAAGAGAGAGAGAGAGAGAGGAGCTAGAGAGGTGGAGTAGCCTCCAGAAGGTTAGGGTCCTGTTGGCCCAAAAGGACTTTAAACTTGGGAGAAACACAGAGAACAATGCTGGATTTGATGAAGTCAGGACTTGGGTTCAAAGCCTGTCTCTGTCACAATCTTCCCAAGTCTCTTAACCACTCTGGTCCTCAATTTGCTCAATTTTAAAATAAAAGGGTAGAACCAGATGACCTTGAAGGTGTCTTCTGGCTCTAAATTCATGATACCATGTGTATCACTGGCACAGGGAAAGAGCTATGGACTTGGAATCAGGAAGACCTTGCTTCACACACCACCTCTGCCACTAGCTATGTGATATTGGGTAAATGAAACTCTCCAAGCCTCAGTTTGCTCAATTGTCACATTGATTAATCAATCAACGAACATTAATTCAGTGACCACTATTACAAGACACCGGGTAGTCAAAAACAAAACGGAGCACTTCCCACTTGGGGAGCTTCTGTTTCTACTGGGGGAGACAATGGGAATGTAGATTAGTGCGCATAAAATAAAGAGTTGGGGGAGGGTGCTGGCAGAAAGGGGGCAGTCAGAGCATACATCTCATAGGCTGTGAGATGAGCTTTGTGAGGGGCTTTGCAGCCCCCAAAGTGCCAGATGCATGTGATGCACTCTGTCACTCTGCTGTCCCAAGGTCCTCACTCACTGTGCAGAGCTCTTCAAGGCAAAGCTGACAGAGAGGGGGAAAACAAGATGAATCAGAAGTTCTGCCTGGATTCTGGGTCATATTTTCCCAGCATCCCTATGTCCATATGGGCATGTACATTTTTGCAGACATGCCCTGGTAGAGGTCTCTGGGACTCACTGTGTTCTCTCTGGGATGGATTAGCTCTCTGGACATTAGCACAATTCTCAAGGAAGTGGGTGAACAACTGAAAAGTTTCACTTTTAAGTGAGAAAGACTAACTGTGCAACAGAAGGGGCCCATCCTGCCTGGAGTTCCTTGCCAAGGCTGTCATTCATAGGAAACCTGTAGCTGTTGGCATCCTCACTGGAAGGGAATCGAGCTAGGGACTCAGTGTCTGGCCAGTGATGCCTTCCCATGTGAGCAGGGAAGAAGTTTCTTCCCAATTTGTTCTGTCCTAATAAATTGTGTTTTTCCTTTGGTATATTTTATTATTGTTTTGCCTTCTCTTTGAGTGTACCCTGAGGGGAAGCAATTGTGGCCATCTGGAACAGGAGACAGAAAGAAATCACAGAGAGCTAGAGAAGAGACAGATAGACACAGAGACAAAGAGAGAAGGGGCAGAAAAAAAGACAGAGTGACAGAGAATAGAGAAGGGAGGCAGACAGGAAGAATAGAGGAGAGACAGAGAAGTGGGGTGAGACAGGGGGAAAAGTCAGGCAAGAGAGGAGAGAAGGGGAGAAGGAGGGGGAGGAGGAGAAGAAGAGGAGGAGAGAAACAGAGAGAGAGAGAGAGAGAGAGAGAGAGAGAGAGAGAGAGAGAGAGAGAGAGGTCTGTTGCAGGCAGGAGAAGGCGTGACCTGAATGGAGAATGCCAGCCAACTCCCCAGACACACACAGGGCTCTCAGAAAACAAAGATAAGACATAGAGTGGAGCCCAGGAAAGCCAGCCCCAGAACTGACACTAGGGAAGAGATCCTGCCAAAATAAGGTGCCGGGTAGAATCTAAATAGCAGCTAAGGCAGAAACATGAGGTGAGTACCAGGGGTCCCCAGAACTACTAGGTATGGGGGAAGGCAATCTCCTCTCCTCTCAGGGACAAGATCTCGGAGTGGCCAGGGCTGCCTGGAGGGGCCCCTCCGACCAGTCTCGTTCCGGGTCTCCGGCAAGTCTCTCTCACCGTGCCGAGCAGGCTGGCTGGTCTCTCCCCATGCATTGGGCTGTCTGGTCTTTCCCTCTTGTCTTGCTGGAATGACCAGTGTGTCTGGAGCTCGCCCTGCTATATGGAAAGATGCAACTTTCCACTGGACACTTTTTCTGGACTTCCACCTGGAAGCCCCAAACTCTTACTGTACACCCCCACACACACACACACACCCGAAACCACACACACCCCCTCCAGCTAACTCTGGGTACTACCTTAAGAAGAAGGTGCCTTCTTTTTTATCAGTTGGGAGCTTTGCTGCGCTTCCTCTGAAGTAAGCAGACATTTCACTCTCTTGATACGGTTGGGGGGGGGGTGGAGAGCGTGTGTGTGTTGTGTGTGTGTGTGTGTGTGTGTGTGTTGGGTGTTTATTTGTTTGGAGCAGAAAAGAAGTCCATTTCCCCACTGCCAGGCTCTTGCGGTTTCCCAAGTCTTCAGAAGTTTGCCAGTTAAACCTCAATCTGGACAAATAAAACCTGTCGCCATGGTACATACAGTGCCCTGTAAGTCACTGACTGGGCAACTGGAATCAGCCAAATGCAGCGAGCGCCTTTTAAATGGAGGGTGCCCAGAGCAGGGAGATAGAGTCCTGGGACCCCCAAGAAAGAGCAGAAATTCCCAGGCTGGTTCCGGACCTTGGACTAAACCTAACGGCTCTGGAGCACTCTCCCCCCATGGCAGACCAGAGCGTTCCCACTTAGGGGCACTCCTTATAAGTCACACATCTCAGAACGTAAGCACCCTCAGTATTTTTCTAACAGTTTTGGATGCTGTTTTAACAACCACCCCTAAAAAAATTCCACAGAAATGCGGCAAATCCCCAGACATTCTCGTCCCCTCCTCCTTCCCCAACTGATTTTCCTTTCGATTCAGAGAGGCTTTAGAGGACGGTGGACTTGGAGACAGAATGACCTTGGACTTGCTTGGTTCCAATCCCATCCTGGGCACTAACTGGGATTCCGGGCAAAATCACTGCTCTCTGCTTCAGTTTTCTTATTAGTAAAATGATGGTCAAAGGTTCAATGCCAAAAGGAAGTTCAGAAGTTGCCTAGTTCACTCCTCTCATTTTATAGATGAAGAAACTGAGACCCAGCAAAGCAACTTGTCTAATGACACAGTTAGGACAACAGATTTATATCTGGAAGAGACCTGGCACAACTCCTTCACTTTACAGAGAAGGAAACTGAGGCACAGAAGGCATAAATGACTGACCCAAAGTCACAATGGCAAAGTCTGGATTTGAACTCTGGTTCTAGTTAAATGTTCTTTGCAGACCTCCTAATTCCCTGATAATGGCTGTGGCAACTCTCTCACAGGGTTATGGGGGTTCCAGTGATATAATCTGTGCAGAGGACTTTGCAATCTTAAATCGGTGGGACCTATTACTCACAAAGAGAGTCTATGGAATAGAGAGCCAAGCTCAGAGCCACGAAGACCAGGGTTCAAACCCCACCTTGGACACATGCAGGCTAGGTGTCCCTGGGTAACTTCTGTATGTAACTTCTCACCTAGACGACTCTCTTAATACTGCAAATTGTAGAGAAGTCACCAACCTGCAGCGATAGAAAGAATTTCTTCACCAGAAGTTCCCCATCCCAATGAACTAACAAGTCTGTTTCAAATACATGGTATATAATATTATTAATATCTACTGTGCTTGGGTCAGTTGGCCCCTCATTCACTGTGGATAAGTTAGGTATGGACAGAGATTCATCAGCATTTCGCATTTCTAGAGTACTTTTTTAAAATTTCATTGGCATTTGCACCTCCCAGTGATAACTCCCTCTACCAATACAGGTCCGCAGCGCTTGTTTTCAGCTTAAAGTCACAGAGGTTTGTTCAGTTGAAGCCCATTTAGGTTTACAAAGTTTACAGTTTACAGATGGGGAAACCAAGGCTCAGAGCCTCAGAGCCAAGAGCTCAAGCTAGAAGGAGGCTCAGGGTCTGTTGGGTCCAGCCCCTCCAAGTTATGTTTGAGGAAACTGAAGCCCACAGAGTAAGCTCAGAGGTGAAGCCTGGTTCCCCTGATGCTCTCACTTTTCACGTTTTGATGCTGCTGGGCATTCTCTCTCACAGTCCTACAAGCCTGGATGCTCTGTCTCCTCATCTCTGACTAATGACTTCCCTGGCTTCTTTTAGGTCCCAAGGAAAACTCCACCTTCTACAGGAAATCTTCCCTAACACTATTAATTCCAGTGCCTTCTTTCTGTTAATTTTTTCCTATTCATCTTGCCTATAGCTTGTCTTTTATATATTTGTTTGCATGTTGTCTCCCCCAATTAGATTGTAAGCTCTTTGAGGGTAGGGAGTGTCTTTTGCTTCTTTTTGCATCTTTTGCTTAGTACAGTGACTAGTACGTAGTAGGTGCTTGATAAATGTTTATTAATTGGTTGGTTTCCTCTGAGTTACCCTGCTTGTGCAATAGCTGTGACAGAGGCAGGATCTGAACCCAGATCTCTCCTGATTCTAGGTACAGAAGTCCTTCCCCAAGCTCCAGAATGCCTCACTGGGAAGAAGTAGCCCTTCAGCTCAGCCTACCAAGGACAGGAGAGAATAATGTCTATTAGGCTAATTCAGCTTTTCTAGGTTTGACCTCATTGGAATCACAAAAGTCTGTCCCTCTGGCCTTTTCTACAGGATGAATCTTTTCGTATGTAGAAGTAAACAAATCTGAGAACCTCAAAGACTGGGACAGTTTTTGGTTTTGTTTTTTGTCTTTGTATCCTGGAAGACTAACAATGTGCCTGGTATATAGTGGGTGCTTAATAAGTGCTTGTTGAGTTGATCTTGACTTGATTGTAATGAATCCTGGTCTATTCAAAGTCAAAACAAAATCAAGGGAAAAGTGAAATGCTCCTAACCAAAGTTCCATCCGCAAGCCAATGGATTAGATGGCAGAGCCCGGCCATTCCTATTTTCTCCATCTTCCTTTTTTGCAAAGCCCCATAGCTGATCCTGCCCACCGGGAGACAAGAATGGCCCTGGGGACTTTCATTTGTATGGCGCCTTCTGTAATCACATGGCATCCCATCTGAATCCTCTGAACAGCTCTGAGAAGCCCACAGAAAGGGTGGGGCAGCTCTGGCTTCCTGGTTTCTACACCGAGCAGGTTACCTGCATGATAATCCAGCAGCTAGGTGGCACAGTGAATAGAGTACTGACCTGAGGCTCAGAAGAGTGTGAGTTCAAATCCTGTCTCAGATATTTGCTAACTGTGTGACCCTGGGAAAACTCAACCACTGCATGCGTCACTTTCTCTATCTGTAAAATAGGAGTAATAACAACACATACCCTGAAGACCTGTTGTAAGGATAAAATGAGATAATATTTGTAAAGTGCTTTGCAAACCTTCAAGTGCTATGAAAATGCTAGTTACTATTATTAATTACCTTGGGCAAGTCACTTAAGTGTTCTGAGTCTCATTCCTCGTCAGCAAAACAGGTCTAGGGAGAAGTGTGACCTAAGAACCAAAGGAGTCATTAAGACCTGGGTTTGAGCCCCATCTCTGACACTCACTGGCTAGGTGACCTTGGGCAAGTCACATTCTCTCTGGGCTGTGGGTCAACCTCTGAGACTCTAAGTTGTAGAGTTGCAGTGGTAGAGGACCTTTCCACACCAGGAGTTTCCCATCCAGAGGAACTCACTGGTCTGGACAGTTTTTCTTTTTTAAATGGGAATTATAGAAGCAACAGCTTCTACCTGAGGCTTTTCCAGGTCTCTGCCATTGCCATCCTTTCTCCTCCAAGATTATCTTGTATCTGCTTTGTATGGGTAGTGTCAATGCCTATATAGAAGCACATCTTATCTCCTCCTGTTAGAATGGAAGCTCCTTGAAGAACTATGGAAGTCAAATCTCTACCACTTATTTTTACCTTCTGTTGGGTTTTGTTTCATCTTTCTGATGGCAGGTATTGTTTCATTTTTGTCTTTGTGGCCCCACCACCCAGGACAGTGCCTGGCACACAGTAGGCATTTAATAAATGTTGACTAATAGATTACTCACAATATTATCATATGAAAAAATCAAAGGGCTATTATTAGCCGCATTTTGTAGGTAAGGAAATTGAGATTAAATCACTGAGTGAAAGTGCTATAAATTTAAAAATAGTGACTATAAGAATGAAGCCCAGGGTTTTTTAGCCCCCCTTTCTTTTGTTAATGGCTGATCTCCCCCTCCTTGGGGATAAGGGGAAGGGATATTTTCTACCTCACCTCACCTTCCCAATTCATCACAATCACAGAGCCTTGCCTTTTTTTCTTTTTTTTTAAATTTTATTAATTTATTTTGATTTATCAACAATCACTTCCATATGCTTTTGAGTTGAAAATTTTTCTCCCTCTTCCTCCCCCCTACCCTCCCCAAGACAGTGCACAATCTGATATAGGCTTTACATTTACATTCCTATTAAACATATTTTCACATTAGTGAAGTTGTAAGTAAAAATTAAAACCAATAGGAGGAACCATCAGAAAGATGAAACAAAACTCAACAGAAGGTAAAAATAAGTGGGTAGCGATTTGACTTCCATAGTTCTTTCTTTGGATGTGGACAGCATTTTCCATCCCGAGGCCTCTGGAGATGTCTTAGATCCTTGTAATGCTCAGAAAGGTTCAGTTTAACAATCTTAGTCATTGCATAACATGGCTGTTATTGTGTACAAAGTCCTCTTGGTTCTGCTCACTTCACTCAGCATTAGACCATATAAGTCTTTCCAGGTTTTTCTGAAGTCAGCCTGTTCATTTCTCATAGCACAATAGTATTCCATTACATTCATATACCACAACTTGCTCAGCCATTCCCCAATTGATGGGCATCCTCTCTTAATTTCCAATTCTTTGCCACCACAAAAAGAGCTGCTATGAATATTTTTGTACATGTGGGTCCTTTTCCCATTTGTTTGATCTCTTTGGGATATAGCCCTAGAAGTGCTATTGCTGGATCAAAGGGTATGCACATTTTTGTAGCCCTTTGGGCATAGTTCCAAATTGTTCTCTAAAATGGTTGGATCATTTCACAACTCCACCAACAATGTATTAATGTTCCAATTTTCCCACATCTTCTCCAACATTTATCATTTTCCTGTTTTGTCATGTTGGCCAATCTGGTAGGTGTGATGTGGTACCTCAGAGTTGTTTTGATTTGCATTTCTCTAATCAATAATGATTTAGAGCATTTTTTCACACGACTATAGGCTTTAATTTCTTCATCTGAGAACTGCCTGTTCATATCCTTTGACCATTTATCAATTGGGGAATGGCTTGTGTTCTTATAAATTTGTCTTAATTCTCTATATATTTTAGAAATGAGGCCTTTATCAGAAAGACTGTTGTAAAAATTCTTTCCCAATTTTCTACCTTCCTTCTAATCTTAGTTGCACTGGCATTGTTTGTGCAAAAACTTTTCAATTTAATGTAATCAAAATTATCCATTTTTCTTTTCATAATGTTCTCTATCTCCTGTTTGGTCATGAATTCTTCTGTTCTCCGTAGATCTGATAGGTAAACTATTGCTTGTTCTCCCAGTTTACTTATCGTTATCAGCCTTTACATCTAAGTCATGAACCCATCTTGCCTTTTTTTCTGATGGAAGAAGATCGTGTCCTGGGTATCAGGACTGTGACCCTTATGTTCCTCTCCAAAGACTCTGGCTGGGTTTTCTCTTTTGCTAATAGAGAACAGCTGCTGGAGACTGAAAAGGCAATGTCTTGACCAATGAGCGAAGACATTTGGGCACAGGGAGAAGGCTGGTGGTGAATTATTGTTGGCATTTACAATCCTCAGTCTGCAGCTTAAAGCAATTTACCAAGTGTACACCATGGCTTGTCCTACATATGAGGGGACATTGACTTAGAACTTTTAAAATCATTATGAGGTTGTAGAGCTGAGTGGGTGGGGGCCACGGATACAGAGTGTCATGTAAATCAGTGTTTTCCCAATCACTCCACCAAATGGTCTGGGGAAATCAAAGTCCTGTGACATGACTTGGAAAAAGAGCAATGGAGAAAGTGGACCTTTCTCACCCTTGTGCGATCTGGGGCATGCTACTGAAGGCAAGACTGGTCCTTGAGCCAAACAAGTATGTAGGACAGATAATGAGGAAGAAGATGATGTTGAAGACTCATCCCTAAAGGTGTTCCCCATTATGGGTCATCAGAGGCAATGTGGTATAATGGGTAGTATTCTGGCCTTGGAGTCATGAAGACCTAGGTTCAGATTCCACCTCTGACACTTACTGATTGTGTGATCCTGGGCCAGTTACTTAAAATCTCCGTCTCATTATTTGTAAAATGTAGTACCTCAGGTTGTTGGGAGTCTCAAATGAGATGCTGTATACAAAGTACTCTACAAACTTGAAAAGGCTATATATTGTCATCAGAGGGTCCAAACACTGAGTTTTTCCAAGTGTTGTAGGGGTTGAAGGAGCAGCACCAGAATGTTGCTTATGATATGAGCAAGAGGCTGGAGCACTATCCTTAAACATTCTGGACACAGTGAGATGTGCTTGGCGACCTTGGACATGTAACTTCCTTCCTCTGTTCCTCCGGGATCCTCTCTCAAAGATGTTGTTGATATTCTATGATCCTATTAGGGACTGTGGTTCTAGAGCTGGAAAGGACCTCCCAGACCAACTAATCTAGCGCCCCCCCCATTTTACAGAGCAGGGTCACACAGGTAAGAACAGGAAGGATTTGGATCAAAGTCATTGCTCTTTCTAACATATCATGTTACCTCTCTTGGAGACCAATTTGTTGGTTAAATGACTCCTTTTTCATTTTCTCCCCAAAAACTCAATTCCAAAAGTATTTGTTAAGCACTTACTGTATACAATGCACCGTGCTAGCACTGGGGATACAAATGCAAAAAGCAAAATTCCCCATGTTCAAGGAGCTTCCATTCTCCTAAGAGACACAATATGAATGCAGATAAATATAATGCAAAGTAATAAAAAGCAATTTAATTTTTAAAATTTTTAAATCTTTGGAACTTCTCATTTTTGGGGGCAAAAACAGACACTAAGGCAAGTCAACTATAGGGGTTTTTTTAACACTTTTTAAAAATTGAGTTCCAAATTCTTTCTGTTCCTCCCACTCCTCCTCCACAGATGGAGAAGGCAAGCAATATGATATCCATTATACATGTGAAGTCATGCAAAACATATTTCCATATTAACCATGTTGCAAGAAAAAAAGAAAGTTAAAAAATATGCTTCAAGTTGCACTCAGAGTTCATCAGTTCTCTCTCTCTCTCTAGAGGTGGATAGCATTTTTCATCATGAGTCCTTTGCAGTGATCAGAGTAGCCAAGTCTTTCACAGTTAATCATGATTGCAATGTTGCTGTTACTGTGTACAATGCTTTCCTGGTTCTGCTCACTTTACTTTGCAACAGCTCATAACAAGTCTTCCTTGGTTCTTCTAAAAGCATCCTGCTCATCATTTCTTATAGAACAACAGAATTCCATCACAATCATATACCACAACTTGTTCAGCGATTCCTCAGTTGATGGGCATCCCTTCAATTTCTAATTCTTTGCCATCACAAAAAAAAAGAGCTGCTATAAATATCTTTGTAGATATAGCTCCTTTTCCCTTTTCTTTGATCTCTTTGGGATACAGACCTAGTAGCAGTAATGTTGGGTCAAAGGGTATGCACAGTTTTATCACCCTTCAGGTCTAGTTCCAAATTATCCTCCAGAATGGTAGGACTAGTTCACAACTCCACCAACACTGCATTAGTGTACCTATTTTTCCACAACCCCTTCAGCATTTGTCATTTTCCTTTTCTTTCATGTTAGCCAATATGATAGGTGGGAGGTGGTACTTCAGGGTTGTTTTCATCTGAATTTCTCTAATCAATAGTGATCTAGAGCATTTTTTCATACGACGATAGATAATTTTGATTTCCTCTGAGAGCTGCCTGTACAAATCCTTTGACCATTTATCAATTGTTGTTGTCTAGTCATTTTTCAGTCATGTCTGACTCTTTGACCCCATTTGGGGTTTTCTTGGCAAAGATACTGGAGTGGTTTGCCATTTCCTTCTCCAACTCATTTTACAGATGAGGAAACTGAGGCAGAGTTAAGTGACTTGCCCAGGGTCACACAGCTAGTAAGTGTCTGAGGCCACATTTGAACTTAGGAAGAAAAATCCTTCTGACTCTAAGCCCAATACTCTATCCACTATGCAACCTCAATGCCATTGGGGTAAAAAAGCAATTTAAGATGGATAAAGCTATTGGAGGGAAGGAAACATCAAGAAAGGTCCAATAGAAGAAATAGCATCTGAATTGTGTTTTGATGAAAGTCAGAGACTCTGAGGAAAGAAATGAGAAGAATTGCCTTCCAGACATATAGAACAGCCTTTTCAGAGGCACAGAAGAGGAAAGGTCAAAATGGTGGCCATTTGATGGACATCCAGAAGGAGGTACCCTGTATTGACATTGTCAGTCAAGAGCTAAGCTAGAAATGGAAACCGGGGGCCCTTTTTCTCAGTCCTTGGACTGGTGGGCATGCCAGAGCACAGCTCTCAAATTGATATCCCACAGGCTGACAAAATTACACCTTCAGAAATGGGTGGGTCAACCCAATCCCAAACAATCCCTTCTACAGTGCCCCCTGCAGCGGGTCATCCAGCCTCTGTGGGAAAACCTCCAGGTCTTGCCATCAGCCAGGACCCACCCAACACAGCCCATCCCACTTGTGGGCTGCCCCAGTTAGGACATCCAGCTGAAATCTGACCTTTGGCAGGTTCTCCTCAGTGCTCCTAATGCTGCCTTCTGGGACCGAGCAGTTCTTAGCTGATCCCTCTTCCTTATAATAGCCTTGCAGACACTTGAAGGTATCTGGCACATCCCCTCTAAGAAGTAGCCCACTACCACACACACACACACACACACACACACACACACACATACACACACACCCTTCCCCCCTGCCAGGATTAGCTCAGGACAATCCACTGTTTCAGGCTTATGACCAGCCAACATTTAGCAAAAGGAAACTTGTTTCACAGCATCATGGAAATGCTCTTCAGCAAGGATCTTGCCTTGGTTCAGGTAAAAGTGGCTCTCCACACCTCTGAGTTTTCCATGGTGGCTCTCCTGGTCAGAAAGATGTGCCAAGTCTTCATATGCTGGGTCACCAGCATATTTTATTCTGAGTCACCAGGAAATTTCATCAGTGGTTCAAGTCTTAATTCCCTGGACCAGTTAAGAAGGCACTTTAAGGAAAAACTAGCCTAGCTCTTGTGAAGTAGATATTGCTCCTACAACACCCTTACATACTCACATACATGGACTGCAGGAAGTATCACAACTCAAAGAAGTCTAGCCACCCCCTGACCGTCAAGCCGAAGGCTCCGTCTGTTTTTATCAGTTCTTCCAGGCACAGGGGTCCTTGGAAAGCTGTCTGACCTCTGTCATCCCCTCCCTGTCTTTCAGGGCGTTCCTGCTGTCCTTTTCCCTGTATGTGTGTCTGCTGAGAGTGTCCACCAACATCGTGGAACTGAACGACATGTTTGGGGAGATCCAGTCCCCCAACTTCCCTGATTCCTATCCCAGTGACTCCGAAGTCACCTGGAACATCACAGTGCCAGAGGGCTTTAGGATCAAGCTGTACTTCATGCACTTTGACCTGGAATCCTCCTACCTCTGTGAATATGACTATGTGAAGGTGAGATGCCACCCTACCTGCCTAACCAAAGTTGGGGGTGGGGTTGAGAAGGGTTCTTTCTTCTGTGGCCTCCTCTGGCATTTCAGCTTCTCAAAACTCCTCCATTCCCCTCCTCTCAAGACCTTCATTTTATTCCTCGTTTTTCTAAGGACCCCTTACCTAGGTGTGTTGCCCATAAGCAATGGCTAAGCTAGGCATCTTTTTCCTCTTCCTCTAGAACATCCTCTTAGTCATGAACAGGTGATACATTTATTCATATTCCCATGCTAATGACCAATATGACCTTCATCATAAAGTAAGGTCATAGATTTAGAGTATTTGGGCGCCCTGGGGAGAAACTTCTATTCCCTTAACAGGAGTAGTCTTTTTATGCAGGCCACCTCTGCATCTGTGACAGGAAATTACTACAGAGAAGGGAGTTCCACGGCCTAAAAATTAAGTCTAGTCAGGTAGTTATTACCTGTATGAATAAGTGTTGATCATTTGATCATTGTAAACAGAGAGAAAGACAGAGAGAGAGATACAGAGTGTGAGAGACAGCGAGAGAAGAGAGAGAAACAGAGAGCAACAGAGCTAGAGATAGACATTCAGAAACAGAGGAGAGAGTGTGTGTGAGAGAGACAGAGAGAGAAGAGAAGAGAGAGAAACAGAAAACAACAGAGATAGAGAAAGATGGACATTCAGAAAGAGAGCAGAGTGAGAGAGACAGAGACAGAGAGAAAGAGATACGAGACAAAAAAAGGAAAGAAAAAAGAGAGAGAGGAGAGAGTCCCTCTATCCATATAAAGCCCTCGACACATTTCATGTTCTTCAAGATTCCCAGTCATTCAATCATCCATTTCTTCATTTATTGAGCCCCTGTCATGACCAAAGCACTGTGCTAAGACACAGAGGTAGATAAGACATGGTTGGAGCCTTCAAGGACTCAAGGAATGTCAACAAAGCAAACAAACCACTACCTATAGTATCTGGCAGACACGTACTGAGTCTAGTGGGGGTTTTGAAAAGGGAGAAATCAGGGGAGGCTTTATGAAGAAGGTGGCATTCAATCTGGACCTCAAATGCCAGTGGGTTACTAGGTGTTGTGGCACATTGAATAGCAAGGTAGCCTTCACCTTGGTTGGAACCCAACAAATTATTTAGCCATAAATATTGTGTTTGGAACTTGGGCAGTATTTTCTCATATAAATAATGGCAGTTACCATCACAGTTTAGCTCACAAGAGCATTTAAGCCCATAATGTATAGCAGGACTTTCCACGAATGTCCTTTTTTGATGTGGTAGCGTGGGAATGGGGGTGGGTGAAGACTGTACCCATTGAGACCAAGGCCTGGCAGGTCCTACTAAGGTGGAAAGGGGAAAGGGAATAAGCATTTATTAAGCACCTACTATGTGCCAGGCACTGTGCTAAGTGCTTCACAAATATTATCTCAGATCCTCATAACAACCCTGTGAGGAAGGCACTGGCATGAGCCTCATTTTACAGAGTAGGAAACTGGTGCAAACAGACATTAAATGACTTGTCCAAGTCACACAGCCAGAAAGTATCTGAGGCTGGATTTGAACTCACCTCTTCTGAACCCCAGGCCCAGTGCTCTATCTACTGAACCACCTCAATATCCAGCTAGAAAGACTTAAAAGAATGGCCCAAAGGTTTCTGTTGCCTAAGGACAAGCCAACTGAGGCATCTTGGCACCCCCATCTCCTCTTCTGTCCCCCTCTCCCACCTACCCTGCTTAGCAACGTAATCCACGCTCCCTTGAAACCTCCCTTGCAAAACTCCCATTTGCTCAGCTGGCGGGTCTCTTGTCAAGAGTCAGAGGGAAAGCAAACAGACCAAAACGTTTACAGAATGTATGGATAACTAACTGTGTATTGACCCTTCCAGGGGGACCAGGGGTATTTGCCTTTTAGAAAGATAATACTGCTTAAACCAAATGAATTCGAGAAGAGAGATAAAGAGAGACACAGACAGACAGAGACAGACAGAGAGACTTTGGATTTTTTAGGTAGAAAATCCACTACCTTCCTGCCACAGAGTCAACCCTCAAACCCACTCCCAAGACATCCTAGGTTGTTTTAGCTTGTTTAGTCTCTTTCTGTCTGAAACTTTGGATTCTTTCTTTTTTAAGGCAATTGGGGTTAAGTGACTTGTCCACAGTCACAGAGCTAGTAAGTGTCAAGTGTTTGGTCTGAGGCCGGATTTGAACTCAGGTCCTCCTGACTTCAGGGCCAGTGCTCTATCCACTGCACCACATAGCTGCCCCTGAATCTTTGGATTCTTTAAGGGGGAGGGACTGACTAGAGGATCTCTCCCAACTCTATTTCATTCAACCAATGGAGAAGGATAGAGCCAGAGCATGTGGATCTTTGTATGTTCTGGACCACCTGGCTAAAACACAAACCCTCCTTGCAGCGAGCTTACGATGGAATCCTAGCACTTTGTTGGCAGAAAAGTGCCAGTGTATTTCCCAGTTCCTATTTCAGGGTGAGAATGAAGACCAACCCAACCATGAGGGCTTGTAGGAAAATACTGATGATTAACCAGCAAGTTTTCCAGTGAGGGCCAGGCAAACAAAATTCTCGGAAGCAAGTTATGCTCACTGCAATGGACTTTGAACCAGATTATTGAATCCCAAAGTGAGGGGAAAGCTACAAACATGATGAATTTCATTCCTTTGAATTCTGACACAATTAGGTTGTAATAACCCCAGCCACACAGATTGCTATTGTTTTATTTAAGTTTTCTTCAAAGGAATCTTCTTTTGATTTGGTATCATCTGCTTTTAGGCTCCCCAACATTGTGAAGGAAAACATCAAGAGACAAACAGAAAGGATGAATGGGAGAGAGACAGACAGACACAGAGAGAGACAGAGAGAGAGAGAGAGAGAGAGAGAGAGAGAATTTATTAAGCATTTACTGTGCTGCTACCACCACTGTGCTAACTGGGAATACAAACAGAAGTGCCCAAGTATAAGCCTTTACTTTTAGCCCTATGAAATTGCATCTTATTAGATTAAACTTATTAGATCAAAGATCTAAGAGGCAAATTTGAGCTTGAGGTCAGGAACATCTTCCTAACAATTAGACCAATCCAAAAGGGCCACATCAGGAGGACAGGCAGAGATCAGTGACCACTTGACAGGTTTTTAATTCTAGAAGATTATGCACCACTGTGATGTGTTCCCCCCTCCCAATCCCCACCCAATAGCATTTGGGATTGATGTACTATTTCCTTCCTCCTCCTGACATTATCATGTATTTAACCTGTTTTATATATTGAATCTCCCCAGTGCAATCAGAGGCAGGGAATGTTTTCCTTTTGATTTTGTGTTCCTAGCCTTAGCACAAGACCTGAGGTTTATCACCCAGTTTTAAGACAAATTTCCGGGATTCAGGCTATGCTTATTCTGATGGACTTTGAACTGGAAGATTAAATCCCTTGTCTCATCCCCATCCCCTCGAATTCAGTCAACGATATGTGAAAAGGACCTCATTTAAGAAAAGAGATCTTTAGTCTATTTCTAGAGCTTTCTTAAAAGGATGCCTTCTCATCACCACATTGTGTAACTCCAACATGACGAGTGAGCCTTAAGTCCAGAAGACTATGAAGTACTCTGTCGTGGCTGACATCTTCTTCCTCGTTAACTCTACCAGGCTTGTGAGCACATGTAAACCTTCATATGTAGTGGGGCTCCCCCGGTAAGAGGTACTCAGACAAAGACTGGGTGGCCATTTGAAGACACTACGCGGGGATCTGAGTGGGGGGGGCGTTCAGGTACAGGCCACACGCCCTTTGAGATTCCTTCCTACTTAGAGAGCCTGATAGGGTACTGTGCAGTGCAGGGCATTAGGAGAAACTTGTCTCCCTGGTGCCGACAACCATTCATTCTCCATAATGTACCAAGCACCTACTGATGGACTGGACCGGTACTTGCAGGACTGGTGCAGATTGGAGCAAAATGGATTTCTTTTTGAATTTGCTTTTGGCACACAGCAGGGAAATGATGAGCACTTGTTTGTTGATTGATTGATGCTGAATGGATTGGGTTGGATGGCATGGAAAACGGCTCCATCTTTCCATAATGAATCCCTTTCTGTAGGGATTAAACACTGGACTTGGCTTAAGAAGACCTGGGTTTCAGTCCTGGCTAATAAGAAGCCCAGTTTTTTCACTTATCAACTAGGTGGCCATTGGCAAGTTTTGGAACCCCTCTGACCCCAGTGTCCTCATCCGAAAAGCAAGGAAAGCAGTGCTTAGACTGAGGGGAAGCTTTGTATAGTGGCCAGCAAGCCAGCCTTAGAATCGGTTTCCAACCTGACAGACAAATACTAGCTGTGCAATCCTGGACAAATAGAGACAACTCTCTAATACTGTAAGGAGCTGAACAAGTTCTGGTCTATGTGGGTGAAGGCAGTTTCCCCACTGAGAGCTGCCTACGCCAATGAAATCACAGGTCTGAATCAAACATCTAGAGATTTGCAGCATACAAATTCAGGTTATTGTGAGAAAAGCATCCTAGATTTAGAAGTGGAAGGGAGCTCAGAAAACACTGGAGCCACCCCTTCATTTTACAAATATAGAAACTGAGGCACAAAGAGGTGGAATAATTTGCCCCGGGGTTGCACAATCAGCAAAGTCTGACATGGGATTTGAACCCAGGTTTTCCAGCTAACTCCAGCCATCCATTATTCTGTGCCGCTTCCTTGAAGCAGTTTTGTTGTCATGCTAATGGTGGAAAATTCCTACAGACAAACCGCTTCTTTTTTCTCCCTTCCTCAAGCCAAACGTATAAAGATTGTTTCGTGGACTTTGTAAGTGGTAAAGCCCATAGTGAATATTCCTAGTGTCACTGTCAGAGACAGTGGCCATTCCGATGCTCTCAGATTGAGCAGAACATCCACCCAGCTCCCTCCCCTCCCCCAGGTCTCCCACCAGGCTGGGAGCAGTAGCTGAATCTGCCTGTGTCCTTTTTCTGATGTCCTCAAGGGCAGGCTG